CTGGACTAAATCTGAGTAAAAACAAGTAAACCTCAGCTAAGGTTATCCAAAGGGTTCAAATGGTGGCAACTGGATTTCTTTGGTTGAAGACATTTAGGTTCTCATCCAGAGCGCTTTATCAATTCTGACTAGAATTTGGGAAAGTCGAGCTTAGTTGTAGCTGTCTGTTCTTGCACAACAATCTAAAATTACTTATGAATACCCCTCCTCCCTAACCCCTGACGAGTCGTTAATGTTGTTAGATCCTATTGTATTAAAATAGTTGTTTTGATTAAATGCAGGAGGGTGTGAATTGACAAAGCTCCTCATATGAGAAGCAAAACCAAGCAAGTCCTGTTGCCTTCATTTGAACCTTTGGATTACCATGACCTGGATAACTGAGAACCTTCACAAACATCATCTAAGGTTGGAAAAATATAAAAGATTTCCAGAAAGCCTGAACCAATATTGCTCAAGGACACAATACACTAGTAAGGACCAATGAAAGGAAAGGAAAATACACAAAAGCAGGAATCCAGTACTTTATGATTTTCCTTCATGAATGCAAGCCTTGCCCCTTTAAGTCAATGTTGCTTGGTACATGTTATCACTAAATATGTTTTCAGTAGCTATGAGCCACACAGAGAGGATTAACTCTGCTGACATATTTGCTTTGTACCGATGATAATTATTATCAGCTGTGCCAAAGTCTGTTTGATGGTAAAATAGGAAAATAAAAGCTCAACCCCGGTAAGGAGGGCACTGGCTGAGACAGGCCCTCGTTCTAGTCTCGCTCTGACATATACTTAAAGCTTATCACCGCCTACAAACCTGCTCAAATGGACTGGACATGCCCAAATGTGCTTGGAACGTTTAATGATGCCTCTAACTACTGGTTTCTCATCTGTCATTAGTAAACAATGGTGAAGAAACCGTGCTGCACATTTGAATTACTCTCTTTTTTTTACATGCACTGAAAATAGTTCAAATATAGAGGAGTGAATTTACACCACAGTTTGGGGTTTCATTTAAAACAGAGTGTATTTATGTGAAATCTATTAAAGGCATTATTTATTATTGTTCCAATATTTTTATCTTTTTTACATGTATTGTGTTATAATTCTAAAGACATACATTTTAACAGTTGATTGAAACCTTAGTAGACTTTAAGGCTTTTGGCTGGGGGTTGAAGTATATTCAGAGCCACTGGTTTCTATTACACTTGTGTAATAAATGTGTAATTGGGTGTTGCTACCCATGGAATCCAGGAAAAAATGAACACAAACCTAGTATACTTTATTATACCATATGATCTTTACAACTGGATAGCAAATACCTTAAAATGTTTCAGGACTCTAATATTGTTGTTCTTATGAGATGTGTTTTTTCAAAAATTGTTGCAATTATGCTATAGTTAGCCGTAGCTATCCCATAATTAGTGGGGTTTGAAATACCACCTTTTACACATTTGTCTGTTTTTGTTGTCAGCTGTAATTGTGCAGCTATGTTTGTTGGCTTTGCAAGAGGGTTACACGGTGACATCACCGCACAGACATTCCTCTGTGTTGGTTTCTGTTTCATCTTATGTCAACACCGTCCATCAGCATCTAAACATTATACTGTTTGTGAACAGGCTTCTTGAGCCTGAACATTCATTCTTGGTGGGTGATGAAGCATTAAGGAACGCATGTCTTATACAACTCACAGATTTCAAAATAAATGCAACACGTCAAAATAAATGCAATAAATATTTCCTTAGGGAAAAAACTGTAAACTTCTATTTGGCTTTATTTTAGTAGAGACTCCTGAATTTTCCCATAGTTTCCTCCTCCGTGCCGGGTGCTGTCAGAACATGACTTAGCCTAAAGAGGAATGTAGACTGCACATTACTCCACCTGTCAAGCATTCCAACTCTACTGCTTCACTGACCAACTCCAAACTGATTAATGAGCCTTCAGTAACTTGGTAATCTGCTTGTGTGTTAATTAAGAGTTAGCAGGCCCCCAAAGCAGATTTACCTCGTCTTTTTATCTCAGGTATAGTAAACATGAAACCTGAACACAAAAAGACAACCTTAAACCACCTTAAACACCCAATCAGTATCTAGAGAGCCACCTCAGGGTTCAAACAAAGCACAGCTCTTTGATTTACTGGCTCTTTTTTTGAGTATATGATTGAATTTACCAAGACAAAACAAGTGGGGATAAAAGAAAGGAGAGCTCAGACCAGTAAGCTTTGAACTTTTTTTTGAGGTCACTGTTTTTATTTTGTCTAGTAAATAAACCTAATCCCAAACCTTTTTATGGTTTCTTATATTAGAAAGATCATTGATGCCATTAGAAATATTTCAGAAATGCGTTTCTATTCTTGTTTCTTGTTCAGAGTTAGCATGAGTCCCTTTGGTTACATTAATGATATGTTACCTTGTTTGGTGAGTTTGCAAACCATGATTTGATCAGTTTATGAAGTTATTTTTTCAACTTGAGTAAGCAGCATTTCAAAAGAGCTGCCGTCGTTGGGCTTCACCACAGAGTTTACATAAAGTTTGAGTCCAGGCTTTACCAGAGGCACTCGCCAGGCCTGCACGATACAAGAACAAAACACTATTGTAAAATTATTTGTCAACATTACAGTGACAAACCAATATTTTCCTATTTCCTCTGTTTTATTAAAATAAAGTTAGTTATGACACATTTCAGCCACTATAATCTAAACCTGGTTGAGAGATTTTAGGGCAGTGAGAGTCTTTATCTCATAGATATGGAAACGTATTCAGTCATATTCTGTGTTTTAGTTTTGTGCAACTAGATTGAATAATGTACAAATCTTTCACAATATTGATTCAAAAAGTCTCATCGAAGCACACCATGATGCTGCCACCACCATGCTGCATCAACCAGTCATTAGTTCCAAAACAAAAGTATAATTATTTTTTCTAACATGTATAATGTTTGTATAAAGACATTTGAATACATGTAAGAATGGCTACATGTCATGATAATGAGGCTAGGGGGTATAGATTATATTCCTTAAGAGGATGTTAGAAGTACACTGAAGCAGAAGAGGGTACAACTCCACCTTAGAAGGCTCATGAGACTTCTAAAATAATTCTCTCTTCCCCTTTTTGCTGGCAGTCAGATATTTCCCTGGGCACCTCTGCATGAACACTCGGCCTAGCTTAATGTTTCTCCTTTCATCTGTAATCTGATGACCTTGTGTGTTCAAGAAAAAAGCTATTTTTATCCTGCAGTAAGCAACTAGTTTTATAAATGTATAACTTAATTTTTTTACAGGATCTGCCAATGATCTCTGGTTTTAAACCCACATGCATTTGCTGCTTTTCCACACCATCCCATATGAGCCATTTAGTTGGGCCTTTAGTTCTGTAGCTTTGAATACGTTTTGTATTGTAATGATGAAAACATGTAAATCCAAACCAAAGCTTGTAAAGTGCTGTAACAGTTAGTATGAATTAAGGTCGCTTCATTAAAAAAACCATCACATACATGCTTAGTTTAATTTCTGCTACAATAAATGTATTCCATTTTTTTCTGTTGGTTTTTAAATCCGAGGCTATGGTCTTGATTCAGAAAAGGGTAGAATGCCTTCTCCGGGTCAGGGATGAGGTCCTGCCCCAAGTGGAGGAGTTTAAGTGTCTTGGGGTCTTGTTCACGAGTGAGGGAAAACTGGAGCGTGAGATCGATAGATGAATTGCTGCTGCATCTGCAGTGATGCGGGTGTTGTACCGGCCTGTTGTGGTAAAGGGAGAGCTGAGTCAGAAAGCGAAGCTCTCAATTTACCGGTCAATCTACGTTCCTACCCTCACCTATGGTCATGAGCTTTGGGTAGTGACCGAAAGAACGAGATCGCAGACACAAGTGACCGAAATGAGTTTTCTCTGCAGAGTGGCTGGGCTCTCCCTTTGAGATGGGGTGAGAAGCTCAGTCATCCGGGAAGGGCTTGGAGTAGATTTGCTGCTCCTCCACATCGGGAGGAGCCAGTTGAGATGGCTTGGGCATCTGGTCAGGATGCCTCCTGGACGCCTCCCTGGTGAGGTTTTTCAGTCACGTCCAACTGGGTGGAGGCCTAAAGGTAGACCCAGGACATGTTGGAGGGACAATGTCTCTCACCTGGCCAGGGAACGCCTTGGGATTCCCTGGAAAAGCTGACCCAAGTGGCTGGGGACAGGGAAGTCTGGGCCTCTCGCCTTAGGCTACTGCCCCCGCGACCCGACTCCGGATAAGCGGATGAAAATGGGTGGATGTATGGTTTTTAAATATCTAAAACGGTTAATGAATTATTTGAATGCAGTGTTTTAGTACTGTTGAGTTGAAGTGAAAATCAAGTTTGAATCTCAACAGCCTCTTCACTCATCTACATGTACAATAATTAGAGACGTGCTCATGGGTAGAGCTTTTAGTAACTCAGTTCATCAGAGTGAAATCCTCTAACCGAGCTGCAGACTGAACAGAAGAACTTCATCTGTGAGATGAATGGAACAAGGAAAAAGCTTAGGTACTCATGCTTTACTGTCATCTCTGTGATGCATTGTTTAGTTTTTCCTAAGAAAATGGATTCCACTAGTTTCCTTGACAATAGTGTAACTAATACCTGCAGTAGCACGAGAATCTCCATTTTCTGAGATTATATCATTTTTCTTTGGGCAGAATGTAGGGCAGGTCTCCTGTCTTCCTCTTGGCCTTGCAAGAGTCTTACTTATCATTACCATCAAACTGAAGAGTCGGGTGTAATCAGACTACAAGAAGAGCGACTGAAACCAACGTGTGTTTTGCTCTGATTGGTTGTGAGTCCGTATGGGACTGCTTCATGGAGGATTTAGGGCTATAACTTGATGAAGTCAAAAATACAGCTGAAGCGGGAGATGGATGACCTGGAACAGTGGAACGCTGCAGTGTGAACGAAGCCCAAGTGATCCCAGAATAACTGCATTTTGCCTGGCTGTGTCAGCATTATAAAAGTATTTTGAGCCCATTTCTCACTTAGTTTTTTACTTTTTCCAGATGAGCGTGAAGCGGTGCAGAAGAAGACCTTTACCAAATGGGTGAACTCCCACTTGGGCCGAGTGACCTGCCGCATAGGTGACCTGTATACAGACCTCCGGGATGGCCGCATGCTAATTCGCCTTCTCGAAGTTCTCTCAGGAGAACAGCTGGTCAGTATATGGATGAAAACATTTTTCACTGTCCTATTACCCAGAATCTCCGTAGCATCAACCTCGACACACACCTGCAGTCCTGAGGAGGAAAAGATCACGTGCTTTATTTGTTACTTAAGAGTGACTCCTTTCTCCTTTAGCTTCTACTTGTTTTTGCACATTGCAATTTCTAACTAAATATTTTTCTTTCTCTGCTCCTTTCAGCCAAAACCCACAAAGGGCCGCATGCGTATCCACTGCCTTGAGAATGTTGATAAAGCCCTGCAGTTTCTCAAGGAGCAAAAGGTCCATCTAGAAAACATGGGATCACATGACATTGTGGATGGGAACCACCGTCTCACCTTAGGTCTCATATGGACCATAATTCTTCGCTTCCAGGTAACATAAAAAGGCTGTCCAGGTTTCTAGCTGCCATGTTGTTCAACCTTTCTGTATCATCAGTTCCTCAGACTGTACTAAAAGCTCATTTATTTAAAGCTGCAATAGCAAATCTACAAAACAAATTGGTTTAAAACATTTTTTCATGCCTCTCAACAACGTTCTATTATAGTATAAATATACTGTGGAGTTTAACCCTCTGGAGGCAGGCGTTGCAGATTTGCAACAGTTAAAACCTACCTGGTTACTCCACATATGTATTTCATGAGCATTTTTTAACTCAGAAGTGCCCCGAAGGACTTAGTTGTTCGTCCTTTTATCAAAACTTATTTTGAGCCTGAGAGGGTTAAAAAAACGAAAAATGTAATGAAGTGATTCTCGCATTTCTCTAAAAACCTCTGTCAATAACACGACTCAGACCGAATGAAAGTATTGGACCATACAGTTGTCTGTCTCACCGAAACTCCGCACTTCCCTGGGTCCTCCATTATTTATGCACATGCACATTTTGCAGCAGATCACCACTGGTGTGAGAGGTTCTCTGCTCAATATCAGAGAGGCAGAAACAGCCGGCTGCTTCCACTTCAATTTTAGGACAAACTAAAAGAACAACAGCATTTGAAATCACAGACCACAAAAGACGTTTGGACCTAGAAAATGGCAACTGGTGTTTAGTAATGTCTCGTTTCCTGTGGTATTGTGGGTTACAGTCCCGACGGACACAGCCCAGGGATGATACCCGAGGGGAGTGGAGAGTGTTCTGTGTTTGCGTTCAAAAGTTAGCTTTTTTTGCAGATTTGCTAATGCAGCTTTTGAGTAAAATGAAGCCAAGTTATGCACACACACACACACACACACACACACACACACACACACACACACACACACACACACACACACACACACACACACACACACACACTTGCATGACTCAGGAATGCTCTGCTAACAGATCCAGGACATTAGTGTGGAGACAGAAGACAACAAGGAGAAAAAATCTGCCAAAGATGCCCTGCTGCTTTGGTGCCAAATGAAAACCGCCGGGTAAGAAACTCACAGTATTAAAAAGCAGTCTGTTTAATCACACTGGGACAAAAACTATTAATATTCATCAGATCATTTCTCCATTCCACGCTTTTACTGAAGCGGTTATCAGTGGGTCTTGCTGTGCAGAGCTAATGATTAACGATTTCTAACCTGGCCTCCACAGATATCCTAATGTCAACATCCACAACTTCACCACCAGCTGGAGAGATGGTCTGGCGTTCAATGCCATTGTGCACAAACACAGGTCAGTGACCCCTGTATGAAAACAGCCCCAGTTGGCCTCAAATCCTTGAAATGGCTATTCCGTACTTACAAAATATTTTCTGGTATTTATGTTAAAGGGGCATTATGGAAGTTTGACAGCCAAAACATGTATAGAAATAATAAATTTCTTCATACATTCTCCTGCAATGCCCTGGTCCTGTAGAATGAGCCCTGGCATTTTTACTGTGATTGCCTGTTTTTCTGTAAAATCACAGAAAAAGAGAGCTGCTCGGGTCGAGCAGGCTGCTTCATGCGCGTTCACGCTCAGGCATCGCCCGTAGCATTTGCTATCAGTAGCTTTAGCAGCAGAGTGAGGTAGTGCCAACTCAGCGACTTTTTCGCTGTTCCTAACACCTAGTGATGAACCTAGCTACATTTCTGAGGTTCTTTTAGATATTTCCTGCAAATTAACAACAAAATAGCCATTTTCGCTCCGAACTGTTCCTTGAACGTTGTGTCAGCTGTTATCAAGGATATAAAAGCTACAGATACAATAAATGTCACTGGCAGTTTAGCTCATCCAGTAAGGCGCCGGACTCCCGTGCGGAAAATCCGGGTTCGAATCTAGATGTAAACAAAATTTATTTAGTTTATTTTTTACAGTAAGATGCCCAAATTTTTATTTGAGACTCGCCAAACGGCATTGAATTCACAGATAAAAAAGATGAGGGTTCATCTTTCATTTTGGAACAATTTTTAAAGCAAGGGGAGGGCATGATCTGAGCATGCAGGAGGACTGACCCATCATAAACCTTTGTCGGCTGTGCTGAAGAGAAAGGTACAGAACCAAATTATTTAATTAACTAGCTGCGTGTTCTCCTGTCCTCTGTCCTCCGGGCCACACACACACACACACACACACACACACACACACACACACACACACACACACACACACACACACACACACACACACACACACACGGGACTGTCTCAGCTGGTTTTTTCGTTAAGGAGTGTGCACGTACAGCATGCGCGCCTCGTGCACAAGCCTACTATTGAAGCTGCCGTTCCGCTTTTAGCCTGAGGGGGCAATCACGAGCATAAAAATTCAAAACTCCGTAAAGTCCCTTTAAGAGGTCGATTCCAGCCCCCTGCAGCCATTACAGTAACATGGTGAAAACTTGTTTAGAAAATAAGATCAGCTATCCATTGTTTTTATTTTCCTGTAAATCCACAAAAGGATGACATGTCAAATTTCTGTTACCTCTTTTTCTGTCTGTAATGTGACTAAAAGGATGCTAATAAAATGTGGTGTAAGATGACCCAAATCACAGAAATAACAACCTACTTATCATCCATAAAGAGTCCGAGTCACACCCTGCTGGTGTCAGAATCAGAGCCATTAGTTTCCCTGACTAACAGCAGAGTTAAAATGTTAACTGAACAAAAAAGCTGAGCTGAAACATTTGACTTAAACAGAACAAAGTCTCTTTAAATAATGATGAATTAAACTGAACGATACGATGAAGGGTACCTGACATGCCTCTTTCACTCAGCCGGTTGCTGTTGGTCTGAGCCATGGGGCCATCATTTAGATATTTATTGATATTTAATTACATATTTAGCTGTTATTGACTAAAGTTCTGCTCCATTTCCTGCAGGCCTGACCTGATTGAGTTTGACAACCTGAAAAGGTCAAATGCTCATTACAATCTGCAGAATGCATTCAATGTGGCTGAGAAGGAACTGGGACTTACCAAGCTGCTAGACCCAGAAGGTGAGTGAATACAGCCTTCAAACATCCATTACCTTATTGTTGTTGGGATTGATAATTAGATAACACAACTAGAATAACATTGCAAAAGCATGATTGGAAATAAGACTCTAGAAAATTCTAACTGCTTTCCTCATTCAGATTACATTTCCATGTAGGTGGATGTAATGATATGGACAAAGCTGGATAATACAGGATGACACTCACTAATAGGTCCTAGTATGACCGGTGTCAGAGCTTGGTCCACATTTCTGGCAGTAAGTCAGTCTCGTTTCCTGTGAGAGTAGGAACCTACCAAGGCTTTGGGGGATCCGTTTGGTAGCCTAAGGATCAAGTCTCTGCTTCATCAGACCGTGCTGGAGCAGTTTGCACCTGAGGGTGAAACAGCCCGGAAGAAGATCAGCCAATCCGAGGAGATGGTCATGAGCCGGAAGAGTGTAGAATGCTTTTAGATGAGGGATGAGGTCCTGCCTTAAGTGGAGGTGTTTAAGTGAGTGAGGGAAAGATGGATCAGGAGATCAATAGGCAGATTGGTGGTGCATTGGCAGTGATGTGGGCGCTGTACGGGTCTGTCGTGGTGAAAAAGAGCAGGGCTGGAAGGTGAAGCTCTCTTTATACTATTCAGTCCATGTTCCAGCTGAAACGGCAAGCGGCCTAAATGAGTTTTCTTCACATGGTTTCTGGGCTCTCCCTCAGAGATGAGGTGAGAAGCTCAGTCATTCAGCAGATCTGCTGCTCCACATGAGGAGCCAGTTGAGATGGCTAGGATATCTAGTAAGGATGCTTCAAGGATGCTTCCCTGATGAGGTTTTCCAGGCACGTCCAACCAGGAGGAGAGCTAAAGGAAGACCCAGGACACTCTGGAGGGACTATGTCTGTCATTTGGCCAGGAAAGGCCTTAGGATTCTCCCAGAGGAGCTGGCCCAAGTGGCTGGGGAGAGGGAAGTCTGCTCATGCTGCTGTCCTTATGGCTCGACCCAGGATAAGCAGAGGATGGTGGATGATGGAGTTGGATAATGCTTTCCATTTCTGTCCCTAGATGTAAATGTTGATCAGCCAGATGAAAAGTCCATCATCACTTATGTGGCAACCTACTATCATTACTTCTCAAAGATGAAGGCGCTGGCCGTGGAGGGAAAACGAATTGGAAAGGTTAGGGGTGTGTGTGTGCGTGCATGTGTGTGTGTGTGTGTGTGTGTAATTGAAACTGCACATGTAGTTGGCTTGATTCTCTCCTATCTTTGACTGCAGGTGCTTGACTACGCTATTGAAGCTGACCAGCTAATAGAGAAGTACGAGACGCTGGCATCAGAGCTGTTGCAATGGATCGAGCAGACCATAGTGACTCTTAACGATCGGCAACTGGCCAACTCTCTAAGCGGCGTGCAGAACCAGCTCCAGGCTTTCAACTCCTACAGGACTGTGGAGAAACCCCCTAAGTGAGCATTTAGCTGGAATAATAGAAGTCACTGAAAGAGTCTGATCAAGTTTTTTTTTATTCATTAAGGCCCAAAACTTCTTGTTAGGTAAAGGTGTTTTGTTTTGACAGATTTACTGAGAAGGGGAACTTGGAAGTTCTTCTCTTTACCATCCAAAGCAAGATGAGAGCAAACAATCAGAAGGTTTACATGCCGAGAGAAGGCAAACTCATCTCTGACATCAATAAGGTACGGGCTGTTCTACAGCTCACCTACGTCTGCCAGCTCATTCATAATAAGAATACTTGAGGCATGGCTGTGACTGACGTAAATAATCAACAATCTATAAAAAGATTTTGTTTCCCATCTGCTGCGCCTCACAGGCTCTGTGTTTTTATTTGTGTGCAGGCATGGGAACGGTTGGAAAAGGCCGAACATGAGCGTGAGCTGGCACTGAGGAATGAGCTGATTCGCCAGGAGAAACTGGAGATGCTGGCTGCCCGTTTTGATAGAAAAGCAGCTATGAGGGAGACGTGGCTGAGCGAGAACCAGAGGCTGGTGTCTCAGGTAGGAAATCAGATTTTTAAAGTGAATCAGTGGCTTGGACGACAATAACGAATCCTAAAATGTGACTGTTCCTCCTTTACAAGGATAACTTTGGGACTGATCTGGGAGCAGTAGAAGCTGCTACCAGGAAACATGAAGCAATTGAGACGGACATTGGTGCATACTGGGAACGTGTTGCTGCCGTCGAGGCTGTTGCCAAAGAGCTGGAGGCAGAGAGATATCATGATGTGCGCCGGATTCTTGCACGAAGGGATAATGTGCTTCGACTCTGGGAATACCTAAAGGAGCTTCTGGCTGCACGCAGAGAGCGTCTGAATGCTCACAGAGACCTGCAGAGGCTATTTCAAGAGATGCGTTATATTATGGACTGGATGGCTGATGAGAAGGTAAACATTTATACAAAAACTCATCTGAGTAACTTTTACAGGGTATTAAGCAGCTTTTTAGTCCTGCTTTCTGTTTCTTTGGTTTCTTGTTACCTAAAATGAGTTTTCTGATCCTCCTGATTGAGATGAGTCCCCTTCATGTTTGTTCCTGATGGCTTTAGCGCGGTCCATAATTGGACTGATAAGCTTTAACCAGGCTTTGCCTGATTAGAGTTGCGCGTCTTTGTTTTCCTGGTGGAGGTTGACTGAGGTAGACGTATCGGAGATACTTTTAGAGATTTTGAGGTTTAAATATTCTCCAGCTTTAGTTTTATTTTTCATGTCATTTGTGCTTTTTAATGGATTTCAGGAATGGCAGAAATGTTTTTTTTACTTTTTTTGAGTGCATCACCTGCTGTTTGTCCTCCATGTAAAGGAGGATCACAGTGCTTGGTTTAATTTTTAATAAGTCTCATTTTTCAGAGGCGGAACAGTGTGGAGTTGAGGCAGCATGAATGAAACTTCACAGCTCAGTACCTCCGTATACGTTTTCCAAAGCATTAATCTAGCCGTTATTCAGATTTTGACCATTAATTCTGTTAATGTTGAAAATGCATCTGATCATTAAGCAGCAATGCCACGCCTCCTCCCCATCCTCTCTAGAATCATCCTTTTTAAACCCTTAAATGTATAATATTACACAGTTTGCAGCTTTTGAACTTCAACTCCAGCTAAAGTGAACATTTGATGTTTGCAGAACTAAATTAATTTATACACACTGGGATATTTATTCTCTTGTTAAATAGATGGTTTTAACATTTAGGTGAAAATTAAAGTCTAAATATAAATGTGGATATTTTGTATAAATATGGAATGTTGCACATGCTTAACGTGTCATCTCCTAGTTCCTAAATGCATCTTGTTTTTGAGGATAAGAAAGTTGTATTTGAAGCAAAACTGTCACTTGCCTCTTTCAGGGACGTCTGCAGTCTCAGGACAGTGGCAAACATCTGCATGATGTCTTAGACCTGCTGCAAAAACACAATCTGGTAGAAGCTGACATTTCAGCTCAGGCCGAGAGGATAAAAGCAGTGCAGGGAGCTGCCAATCGCTTCACCTCCCACGAACAGGGTACGTTTTTAAACCTGGTGTTAGGTGCTTTCTTATAAATACACATTTGTGTGTTTTGTGAACAATTGTCTTTTCTGAATATCAGCTTACAAGCCGTGTGAGCCAGGGCTGGTTGCTGATAAGGTGGATCTGCTGGGCCAAGCCTATGAGGAACTTATTCAACTTGCTGGGAATCGTCGGGAGTGTCTGGAGGAATCGCGACGACTGTGGCAGTTTCTGTGGGACCTCGGGGAGGAGGCTGCCTGGATCAGAGAACAGGAACAGATCTTGGCTACTGGCGACTGTGGCCGTGACCTCACTTCTGCCCGTCATCTACTGAGTAAACACGAGGCGTTCAGGGATGAGATGGCTGCCCGCTTCGGCCCCCTGAGTAACAGCATTGCTGCTGGTGAAGCTTTGGTGAAGGAGGGACATTTTGGAGCCGCTGAAGTCACTGAAAGAATTCGAGATGTCCATGGGCAGTGGGCTCACTTAGAAGAGGTGAGTGTTCTGATATGCTCTGTAATCATATTTGTCCAAATTAAGCTTTTCTAAAAAGAAAAAGGTTTTCTCTCTCCGCTCGTCAGACAACTAAACTCAGGGAGCAGAGCCTGAAGGAGTCCGTGGCCCTGCACCAGTTTCAAACGGATGCCAACGACATGGAGGCATGGATCATGGAGACCCTTAGACAGGTGTCCAGTCAAGAGGTTGGTCATGATGAGTTCTCCACCCAAACTCTCGCTCGCAAGCAGAGAGAGATAGATGAGGAGATCCAAAGCCACCGCCCCCTCATCGACTCCCTGCACGAGCAGACCCAAGCAATGCCACAGGCCTACATCCGTTTCCCTCAAGTATGTGAGCTTGGATTATCATAATCCATCCATGATGACATGATCTTCAGAGTATGTTATTGTTTCTTGTCTTGTAGGTGGATGGTCGTCTGCCTGCGATCGAGCAACGCTATGAAGAGCTGGTGTCTCTGTCGGCAGCTCGGCGCCAGGCTCTGGAGGGTGCCCTGGCCCTTTATCGCATGTTCAGTGAGGCTGATGCCTGCCAGCTCTGGGTGGAGGAGAAGGAGCAGTGGTTAGATGGCATGGAGATTCCTACTAAACTGGAGGACCTGGAGGTGGTGCAGCAGAGGTTAGTTCGTGAGAAGTTTATAAAGCACCAAAATTTCATTATGAGTGGAATAATGTTTGATCTACTTTACGAATGCAGGTTTGACACTCTGGAGCCGGAGATGAACAACGTAGGAACTCGGGTCACGGATGTAAATCAGGTGGCTGAGCAGCTGCTGAGTTCAGATAACTGCAGCAAGGACCAAATCCATCAGACTAAAGATCAGCTGAACAACAGGTCAGAGGTCAAGTTTTAAGGCCTAATGTTGCAGTTTTAGTCTTGAGTTGCTTAAGCGTGTCACTTTGTCTCTTAGATGGGAAGAGTTCAAGCAGCTGGCTGGTCAAAAGAAACAAGCCTTAGAGTCGGCACTCAACATTCAGAACTACCACCTGGAGTGTAACGAGAGCCAGACCTGGATGAAAGAGAAGACCAAAGTGATTGAATCGACTCAGAGCCTGGGGAACGACCTGGCAGGAGTGATGGCACTTCAGCGCAAACTCACCGGCATGGAGAGGGATCTGGAGGCTATCCAGGTGGGGGGGTCATTTAGGTGTGTGGGCGATGGGAACGTGTCATTAATACGGATCATCTAAATGGGTTTGTTCCTTTCTTAGGGTAAATTAGACGGCCTGAGGAACGAGGCAGAAAAGCTGGCCCGCGAACACCCAGATCAGGCCGGAGAAATCCAAGGTCGCTTGGCTGAAATTCAGGAGGTGTGGGAGGAGCTGAACACCACCATGAAAAGACGGGAGGAGTCGCTAGGAGAAGCCAGCAAACTTCAAGGATTCCTCAGGGACCTGGATGATTTCCAGTCCTGGCTGTCCCGCACGCAGACTGCCGTGGCCTCAGAGGACATTCCCACCTCTCTGCCTGAGGCTGAGAGTCTGCTCGCCCAGCATGAGAGCATCAAGAACGAGATCGACAATTACAAAGAGGACTATGAGAAGATGCGGGATGTTGGTGAGGAAGTGACCCAGGGTCAGACAGATGCCCAGCACATGTTCCTGGCCCAGAGGCTCCAGGCCTTAGACACCGGCTGGCATGAGCTGCATCGCATGTGGGAGAACCGCCACAGTCTTCTGGCTCAAGCGTTTGATTTCCAGACGTTCCTGAGAGATGCAAAGCAGGCCGAGGCCTTCCTCAACAGCCAGGTTAGAGAAAAATGCAGTGAGCTTTCAGTTTGTGCATCGTTTACATGGACATACATGATTTTGATGAGCGAGTTTCTCTGGTCTTCAGTGGGGATGTGTAACGATTAAATTTACATGTTATTTAATGAACCATAAAATGTGAGATTCCATAGGAAATATGAAATCAATCTTATGGATCTTTGGATAATTTAAACCAGAAGATTCACGGAGGGGTGTTGAACCGTTTTGGTTCCGTCCACTTGCGTACCATTTAGATTTATTTTTTCCGTTAAATAATGAATTTTTATCTGCGTGAGGTGGTGCTCACTCCTCACTCACATTGACCTCAAGGGATAAACCATCAACTCATGGTCAGTGGTCACCTTTCCTGGAGGGGTCACCCGATGGGACATTGGGAGGGTTATGTGAAGCGGATAAAAGTTCCTAGGCGAGTTTCCGCACGGACGCCGTATTGAGTGAAGCATGATGGCTGCACGCGCCCGATCTCCGTTTAGAAAACGTGATCTGCAAATTCTGATCAACGCCTTTCAGAGCGGATCAAACCAGCTAGCCGTCGCTGCTACTGGAGCCTGTAGAGACGCTGAACGGAGCGTTGCTTCGCCCCTCCCTCCCTCCCTCCCTTCTCTCACTCTGCACGCTCGCAGCGGCAAAAATGTAAACAAACTTTCTGCTGAACTTTTCCCTCTGAGACAATTGATGTAAAGTTTTCATCCCATAACCAAAAATGTGGTGTGGAGGGAGCTCGTTATTTAATAGGAGTTTAAAGAAGAAGCTCTGGGCGGTGTGAGGTGAGTTTTTAAGGCTCGTTGCAGAAGTAAAAACACGGCGCATCAACAGTCAAACACAACACTGGTGTGTATGAGCGTGACACTCATAGCTGCGCAAATAACCTGTGATCCACCATCGATTTCCCTCTTTCCCATTCATTTTCTCTCGGCCTTTTTTTTTTTTTTTTACATTTTTCTTATCACAAATTTTATTTTTTCATTTCTCATTTTTAACACATTTTTAATCATTTTTTGAAATATAATTTACATTTTTCAATATTATTTATTACATTTTTAGTGATTTTTATCTTGAGAGGTGCTATATAAACGATTGTTTTCTTTCTTTTTCTTTTCTTTTCATTGAAATAATTAAAGACATCATGCTAGATCAGCAGCCTGTAATGACACCTGCCTGGTTCTGCTCACTATAGGAGCCTCGCCTTTGTCAGCGCGCCCCAGGGCAGCTGTGGCTACATCGTAGCTCATCACCATCAGTGTGTGAATGGATGAACGATACACTGTAGTGTAAAGCGCTTTGGGGTCCTTACTCTGAGAGGCGCTATACAAGTGCGGGTCATTTATCATTCTAATTTTAAATAAATATAATTATAATATACCGTAGATTTATTGAACCGAGCCCTTCAACACGCTGAACTGAACCGAATAGGTCTTTAGCGTACCGTTACACCCCTAGTCTTCAGGCGTATATTTAGCACCAGTATAGATCTTCATACCAATATGAGACACAGCAGGGGTCCAGGACAATAGGAGCTAATGGTTTATGTTTATGTTTATGTATTTAGCAGACGCTTTTGTCCAAAGCGACTTACAAGTTTCTTCTTGCCCAGATGGAACATGATTTAACAGGCTAGACAGAGCAGTTGGCATTCTTTCTCCCTCTGTAGGAGTACGTCCTGTCCCACACGGAGATGCCCACCAGCCTACAGGCAGCAGAGGAGGCCATTAAGAAGCACGAGGATTTCCTCACCACCACGGAGGCCAGTGAGGAGAAGATAACTGGCGTGGTGGAGGCTGGACGGCGCCTCATTAATGACTCCAATGCAAACGCTGATAAGATTCAAGAAAAAGTGGATTCAATCCAGGAAAGGTCAGAGCAGAAGCAACAGACAGAAGCAGAAATATGTGTTTTTAAAGTTTGAAGATGACATGTTTGCTTTCTACTCGTTTTCTTCAGGCATCGTAAAAATAAGGAGGCTGCAAATGAGCTGTTGACCAAACTAAAGGATAACTGTGAACTTCAGCACTTCCTCCAAGACGGACAGGAGGTAACCATTCATAATAAACACATTACAGGTTTAGAAGAAACGTAGCTCTGTTGGCAGAAATGACATTTTTAGGAGGGATGCACCGAAAATGACCCAAAAGTGCTTTTACGTTTTATTGATGAAACAACTAAATCGCCGAAACAGGCCGTCAGGTGAACCCCGTTTTTGTTTCATCTCGCTCCGCCCTCATGTGGCAACTTGCTCATTGCTTTAAAAACAGTCCATTTGTACGGATTTCAAAAGTAAAGTTTTTCTCTTTTAGTAAAGCTGTTTTCCCGCCCCGATCTGCGTACTGCAGTCAGGGGCTACTCCGTCTGCCCGGCTTTTTTTCTTCTTTTACATTCCTGCCACGTCTGTTACTGTTAGCGGTGTTAACCATCCTCTTTACACCCACCACTTCCTGAACACGGTGAAGTAAGCTTTGGATCATGTGTGCGAAGCGTGTTTACTCTTATGAAGCACACAGACTCTCTGTTGCTGCTGCGTCACTTTTTCTCACTGGACAAGTGAATTTCTTCATCAGAGGGTTCCAGAGTCAGCCATTGCCAGACAAAGAGCTTTGTCATCAATTAACAGACCTGTCAGCTTTGTGAGTTTCTCCTCTAATAAATAAAAATGTTCACCCTCTGTGTGCTCCACTCGCCTCCTTTCCTCAGTCGGGAGCCTCTGGACGAGGGGCAATTTTCAAACTCTATAAACTCCAAAAATTTCAATAGAAACATCCAAAAGTGTTGCTAAGACTGAAATTACACATCTCCACTATAATAATAACTTCAGGAGGGATTATATTTGCAGCTGTGGTTCAATAAACCCAGCGATGATGCAACGTTTCGACTTTGGTGCATAAAGGGTTGATTTTACACTCCACAGCTACTAAATTTGTACATTTATAATTTATTATTTAATGTCCTCGTGAGTGGGGTCAAGTGAAACATTTTATTTTGAGTTTTAATTTAAACTGTATTGTTACGTCTGTGCTAAATTAATATTTTCATGGTTTTGTAATTGACTTATTGATGATTTTAGTGAGGTTCGTACTCACCGTAGCCATAAATGCTAGGGTTCCAATAATTAACAATAATTTCTTTTGGCTTTCGGCCAAGAATTTTCATTTCTGTGCATCCGTAATTTTTAGTGATAAGAATGTGTGATTGTTGTGTTTTTAAATTATGAGTTAACAAACCCATTTCCTAACTTCTTCTGCAGCTCACGTTGTGGATCAATGAGAAGATGCTGACAGCACAAGACATGACCTACGATGAAGCTCGCAATCTTCACAGCAAGTGGCAGAAACACCAGGCTTTCATGGCAGAGCTGGCCTCCAACAAGGACTGGCTGGACAAGATAGACACGGTGCAGAAAAGTTTTGTATTTTTAGAAGAGTTTCACTCAGCAGAGGAAAGGTTATTGAATTTAAAATGTTTTGTCTTGTCTGTAAAAGGAGGGTCAGGCACTGGTGGCAGAAAAACCTGAGCTGAAACCTGTGGTCCAGAAGACCTTAGAGGATCTCCAGCACCAGTGGGAGGAGCTAGAGGGGAGGACCCGCACCAAGGACCAGTGCCTGTTTGAGGCCCACCGGGCAGAGATCTTTACACAGAGCTGCTCAGCTCTAGATGATTGGCTGAAAAACATCGAGAGCCAGCTGCACAGCGATGACTATGGAAAAGATTTGACCAGCGTCAACATCCTCCTCAAAAAGCACCAGGTACAGCCCGAACAGACCATCCGCTTTTAATGAGACTGTTAACATTTTTATGCTCACGATAGCCCCCTCAGGCCAAGCGTGGAACTGTAGCTTCAATAGTAAGCTCGTGCATGAGGTGCGCATGCTGTACGTGCACACTCCTGAACGAAAACAACAGCTGAGTCAGTCCCGTACCGATGCATTTTACAGCTTTAGACTGTTCTACACAATTCTAATAAATTGGACAAACGATGTTCTCTGAAGTAGACGCGCGCGCTAGACAAGCAGCCTAACAATGTTCCTACTATCAAATACAGAAAGCAACCGGCTTGCTTTGAAAGCATCAACCCTTTTCCCCAGTTACTATTTTATTAGTTAAAATGATTAATTAGTATAATTAAAATGGCCCAAATTGCTTTGATGTGTTAAATTAATTCTAAAAGTATAAATAAAGTGACATTAAAGCAGATTTGGTGTGGTGATCCAAACGGTTCTGTTATAGGACATAGCTCTGACCTCCTGCTGTCCTCGTTCTCACAGACGGTCACATTTGTGTGCTACCAGCATTTTTTTGAGCAGCGACTTTTTCCTCTTCTCCACTTCTACGTTGTGTTTTCACTGCTAGATCGGGATAATAACGGTGCACACCAGTGCAACGAGCAACTGGGAGCAGGTATCTCATGATATAGCTATCCCTGTGTCACTAAAGGGAATTCAGATGAGCCACAGAGCTGAGTGTGTTAACGGGACGGTAGTTCTAACTCCCGCTGACTTTATTTGCCAAATGCAGGAAGGGCCAAAGTTCCCGATGGCTGCAGACTGCATGTTGATGTCTGCGCTGTCTCTAATAGAAGCGTGAGTCTTTAGCAGCAGCAGACGTAAATCTGCGGTGTCCAGCTCTGCAGCTGTACCTTTGTTGTCGGCCCGGCCGAGAAAGGTTTATGATTGGTCAGTCCTCGTGCACGTGCGCAGATTATCATTCTTTCTTTGCTCCTGGATGAACAGTTCAGAGCGCAAATGGTTTCTTTGTTGCTAATCTGCAGGGAATATCTACTAGAAAGTTCTACAGAAAGTAGCAAAGGGTCCTCAGAAATGTCGCTAGATGTTTTTTCGAGGAAAAGTTGTTGAGGGGGGTCGAAAAGTCATTAGGAATAGCGACAAGATCGCTGAGTTGGCAACACCTCTCGCTCTGCTGCTAAGCTACAGATGGCAAACGCTACAGCTATGACTGACCGTGAATGCGCATGACATCATCACGCATTACGCTGCCTCTGGAAGGCACTGGGGAAGCAGGCTTGTTCAATCCGAACATGCTCTTTTTATGTGATTTCACAGGAACACAGAGGCAATCACAGTAAAAATGCCAGAAATCATTCTACAGGACCAGGGCCTTGCAGGAGAATGCATGAGGAAGGAATTTTAAATTTCTATACATGTATTGGATGTTAAACTTCCACATAGTCACTTTAAATTAACCACCATAGCTGTAGCTACTCTGAATGGAGGTGGAGGAAGAAGCAACAGAAGTTCTGTGGAGGTTTCACCTTGTTTTTTGTTGCCCCTGTGTAGATGCTGGAGCATCAGATGGAGGTTCGAGAGAAGGAGGTGCAGTGCCTGCAGTCTCAGGCTGTTGCTCTGTCCCAGGAGGAGGCTGGACTGAATGAGATAGACGGTCAGCAGCAACGAGTCACTGACAACTTCTCCGACCTTCAGGAGCCTCTCAGACTAAGGAGACAGCAGCTGCTGGCCTCCAAAGAAGCTCATCAGTTCAACAGAGACCTGGAGGATGAAATTGTGAGCCTAGTGACAGATGAATAGATTCTATAAGTTTTTGTAGAGTGTGTGTTATTTTTTCATCATGTTTTGAAATATTCTCATATTTTAAATCCTTGATTTTTATTGTCAGCTGTGGGTGAAGGAGAGGATGCCTCTGGCAGCTTCCACAGACCATGGAAAAGACCTGCCCACTGTTCAGCTTCTGATCAAGAAGAACCAGGTACTGTCAAAGAAAATTGAAGCATCTAATAGAAACCTGACATTAACATAGTCTAACGCTTTCATTTATAATAATTACCAACCTACCAGTAAAAGTACATCCCATCTGGTTGTGACTCAGACATTGCAGAAGGAGATCCAGGGTCATCAGCCTCGAATCGATGACATCCACAGGCGCGGCGAGGATCAGAGCCAAGTAGATGGTGAGAGACAGTCGCTTCTAAAGGAGCGTCTTGTTGAGCTGAAGAACCTCTGGGACCAGCTGATAGCAGAGACGGACCAACGTCACACCCGTCTAATGGAAGCCCATCGCGCCCAGCAGTTCTATGCTGATGCAGCCGAGGCAGAGGCCTGGATGGGAGAACAGGAGCTGCACATGATGTCAGAAGAAAAAGCAAAGGTAGGTAAACAAAATGGATGTTAGCAGAGAACATTAACATTGTGTGTTTTGGGATGTGCAATGGTTTCCTGTTTGTGTCCCAGGATGAGCAAAGCGCTCTAGTTATGGTGAAGAAGCACCAGATCCTGGAACAAGCACTGGAAGACTACGCCCAGACCATTCACCAGCTGGCCAACAGCAGTCGCCTCATGGTCAACGGTGAACACTCGGAAAGGTGCGCGTACTTTTAAATATTACCTCCCCTTTAATCAAACTAGGTCTCCACGGCGACTGATCTGTCTGCCGCTCATTCTCCAACAGTGAAAGAATCACCTTGCGACAAGCCCAAGTGGACAAGCTGTATGCAGGCCTGAAAGACCTTGCAGAAGAGCGCAGAGGGCGTCTTCAGGAACGGCTGCGGCTGACCCAGCTGAAGCGGGAGGTGGATGACCTGGAACAGTGGATCGCTGAGAGGGAGGTGGTCGCCGGCTCTCATGAACTAGGACAAGACTATGAGCATGTCACAGTGAGTTTGTGCCACAGCCACATGCTTTACACACGGGAAGCTTTGGGAAATTTAGCTGGAATAATTATGCTGCCCTGATTGTCTCCCCCCCCCTTTTTTTTTCTTCTGCAGATGTTGAGGGACAAGTTCCGTGAGTTTGCTCGTGACACCAGCACTATCGGCCAAGAGCGTGTAGATGGTGTAAACGGGTTAGCAGATGACCTCATTGAGTCAGGTCACCCTGAGAATGCCAGCGTGGCCGAGTGGAAGGACGGTTTAAATGAAGCCTGGGCCGACCTCCTGGAGCTGATTGATACACGCACGCAGATGTTGGCGGCTTCGTACGAGCTGCACAGATTCCATCAAGATGCCACGGAAGTGCTCGGACGTATAAAAGAGAAGAAGGAAGCTCTGGCCTCTGACCTCGGTCGTGACCTGAACACAGTGCAGCACCTACACAGACTGCACATCACCTCTGAAAATGACATCCAGGCCCTCAGTGGACAGGTGAGTTATCGCACCAAAGACGCATCTCAGAAGTGGAATGTAAACAGGGCTCAGACCTTCTCTCCTTCTTTTTTACCCTCCAAGGTGAACCAGGTGCAGGATGATGCAGCACGGCTGCAGAAGGCCTACGCTGGTGAAAAAGCAGATGATATTCAAAGGAGTGAACATGCTGTGACGGCTGCCTGGGAGGGCCTGCTGCAGGCCTGTCAGGCTCGCAGGCTCCTCCTGCTGGACACAGTGGAGAAATTCCGCTTCTTCAACATGGTGAGAGACCTCATGCTCTGGATGGATGGAGTCAACCTGCAGATCGATGCACACGACAGCCCACGGTGAATTTGTTTGTTTTGTTACGGCTGCCATACTCAGTTTCATAAAGATCTGTGTTAACCTTCTCTTGTGTTTGGTTGTTAGGGATGTATCTTCTGCAGGGTTGGTCATTGCCAATCATCAGCACATCAAATCAGAGATGGAGACCAGAGCAGACAGCTTTACTGCCTGTACCGAGATGGGAAAGTGTCTCATTAACAACAATCACTACGCTACCGATGAGGTGTTTTACAGCGAACCGTCACAAAAGCGACTCAAGAACCAGTTCTCAGTGTTTCATTTAATTATTGTTCATCCTCGGCTGACGTAATGTTCTTTGATTCTCAGATCCGAGAGAAAATGGCTCAGCTCCAGGAAAAGAGACACAAGATCAACAAGAAGTGGCAGGACAAGATGGACCATTTACAAATAGGTATGCGTACTAAACAGTGTGTTTGGTAAGGTTATCTTAAGCCTTTTATTAAAAAACTATTGAATAATAACTACAAATGTTTTGTTGCAGTTTTTAATTCATAAAAATGTAAATAAATGTAAACATAAAAAGGAAAGTTGATCAAATTGATCCTGACTGAGAAGATTAGGACAAAAATGATTAAATGTTTTTATTTGTTTTGTCACGAAACAAGTAAAACCAGATTGTGCCGAACAACATGTCACAATAATATAATAAATTAATTTTGAAATGACATAAAAAAGCTAGTTGCAACAATTTGTAAAAGGCAAATGTCCAAACTGTTGCATCCAGTTGGAAGAGCTGTTACACATTAAGCAGTAATTCATCATTTTCACAAATAGTATAATTACAGTTTTATTCTACATCAGTTTTTAAATGATGTCATGTTTGGCAAACGCTGTTCTACAGGTTACGAGTGCATGCACGTTCCTGACTGATGCATCGGAGGTGTGAATAAAACATCAGCACAGCTTGGTTTTTTATTTAGAGTTTATTTCTGGTGCATTTGTGGTGATGTCGATGCCAGTTGGCTGGGTCTGTGTGTTCTGTCCCAGTGCTGCTGCTGGTCTGAATGCACATTCTGTCGTTTGGTCTCACTCTCTCTTGCACCACTTGCTTTTCTGTTCTCAGTACTGGAGGTGCTGCAGTTTGGACGCGATGCATCTGTGGCAGAGTCGTGGCTGGCAGGGCAAGAGCCTCTTGTGCGAGCAGCAGAGCTGGGCACGAACGTAGACGAGGTCGAGAGTCTAATCAAACGCCACGAAGCCTTTGAGAAACTCGCTGCAGCTTGGGAAGAGCGCTTTGTGCAGTTGGAGAAGCTGACTACGGTGAAAACAACAATCTGATCAGTTCTTAGCCGACAACTGTTTCGACAAACCAACCTTTACTGGGTTTTATGTTTACACGCTTTTGTTTTCCATTCATCAGCTAGAGGAGCAGGAGATGCAGAGGAGGCGAGAGGAAGAAGAGCGAGCACGGCGACCCTCGACCCCACCACCAGCAGAAGAGGTGGCGCGAACTGAGGCAGAAAGCCAAGCACATGATTCTGCAGCCAGGTAAATCCTGAAGAGACTCTAGGAGCAGATTGATGTTTGTGTGCAACAGAACTAAACTGTTTTTCTCTAAAAACACATGCTTGTGTCTGTAAAACAGAACAAGTCTGGACCAGACCACACTAAACCAGTCCGTCTCCGTAAACGGAGTACACAGCGACAATGACACATCTCAGGTGAGGCAGATTATGTATCTGAGGAGTGGTTTTACATCTTTTCTGTGTTGGTTGAACTCATCATCTACTGTTAATCTTTTAACCTCAAGTTAGTTACAAATTATGTTCAGTTTATATCAATTCAGTTTTTTAAATATTGCACGATTGAAAAGCCCGTCAAAAATGGCGACATTTAAAATCAAACAGTGAATTTCATACCTCTTGTTTTTTTCTGTTCAACTAGAATGAACAGTTTTTTGTTTGACATCAAGCATCGTTTATGAAACGTTAATTCAAGTGTTTGGAAACGATATTCCAGAAATGTTTTATGTCCAAGTCCATGGTGGTAGTTAATATGCAGACCAACTGCCCTCATGTGACCAAACAGCTTTTAAGGCGTAACTTTTGAATCTGGGTTGGACAAACATACATTTCCATGCATGTCACACAATCTCATTGAACCTCCTCAATGGCTGCAGAACGGATCCCTGGTCGGGTGTGATGTTTGGAGTTCCTGCCACTGACAGAGACTCCTTAACAATCTCTCATTGCATTTTTACCAGCAGTCATTATCGCAGTCGTTGTCAGTGGGAAAGAAATCAGAGCCTAAGCGTGTGTGTAAGCCCAAACAGCCGGAGCGTGTGAGTACCGAGCCCTGGTCGGCTTTGTGACTTCCCCCTCACCCCCTTCAGCCTCCGCTCAGCTCCTGGTCAACAGCAGCACCCGCTCATCCGCTGAGAAGCCCCGCTTCTCCCTCACCGATGCAACCATTGCTTTAATTAATGAGCAACACGGTCTCTCATTACTGCCTTTCTTCATTGCTGTTTACAAGGCATGAAGCAGATTCATTAACGCGCTATTTTCATGGATCAAATCCGTCTTTAGCTGTGTATGTGCTTGCATTGACCAGGACAGGATTCGCTGTTGGTGTGGGGCAAATGTGGTGATAAATGTAGTTGTTTGGTGTTATTCTGTGTTTTAGTCTTTTCATATGTGTGTGTGGTACCTGAGGTCTGTGGAGGACAAGTAGATGAACACAGATGTGTACTTTGTCACCGAGAGCCTGTGGATGTCTTATTTTTAAAGATTAAATCTTTTCAGATTTGACTAAGTAATTGTGGGATTGGTTTTAAACTAGTATTTTTTTTATCTCTAACTTCATATCTGGCGTCTGGTCATGTTGATGCATTCATTTACTGAACAAAGCTCATATTTTTATTTTACGTTTACTGCTGGTTACGTGTTCCTTGTGTGAGGTAATGAAGCCATCTGGCGTTTAGAAGTGGCTGTAGTCTCCTGTGATGTCAGTGTCATGTGCTCTAGGCCGATTATCCAGAACCATCAGAGCAAGCGTCATTATGGCTTTTCATGTACGGCTGTGAATGGCTGCTTTGCTATTCCTAACATTCATCTACTCTGAACGTTGTTCCCACCTCATCACCACCATTAACGTGTTGGTTTGAACCACAGGGCTCCGAGTCCGAGTCAGTGAATGGACCAGGCCGAGACAGCGGGCTGGCGTCTTCCCGCCTAGAGCCGTCTGCCACGTTGCCCAGCAGAGGCGGTGCTGACTCCGAGCCAGACATCATGGAGGGGGTTCTCTGTCGAAAACAGGAGATGGAGTCCCACAACAAAAAGGCAGCTACCAGGTAAGGATCTGGTTAGAAACGAGCAAAAATTTGCTTTCATTGAAATGCTCCACACATCAGGGTCTTTAGCTGCACCAGGTCCAGGTCTGACTCGGACCTGGGACATCATTTCTTCCATCTTTCTTCTCGTTTTCTCATCTTTTATTTATTTATTCCATTTGTAATGAATAGCCATCCTATGTATGTAAACACCATAGTCTGGCCACGACCCCTAGATAGCTCGGTCATAGGGTGGTATCTATGGTTGTCTTTCGAACATAATGCTACTGAAATTGGTCAACGAGGCAGTGTGCCATAGAAGAAGAAGCAAATACAATTATTTTAGAAACTAACTGCTCATGTCTCAAAGTCAAAATCATCCAAAGTTGATGGCAAGGCTGTTTCAAACGAACCAACGCCATATTTTTAGTTTTTCTCTGCCGCCGCGCTCGTGCTAAGTCGTGCCTTGCTGTGACTGGCCTGGCTTAAAGCTGTTGGTGCCAGTGGTATACCTGGTGAGGCTAAACGGGAGATTGGCTAGCCCGACCCGCAGAGCTGCTGCTACGTTTATGCCTGGAACACATAAGACGCGGAAGTGCGACGATGCGCCGCAAAGCGTCGTGGAATGACGAGCGCTTCTAATTAATAATATGAGAACGGACTGGTTTGCGACGCCCTTCGGTGTGAAACGGGGAGATCTACTTTCTCCTTCTTTATTTGCTCTCTATATAAATGATTTGGCCCAGGAAGCGAACTGAAATGGGTATTCCGGTAGATAATTTAAGTAGTTTATTATACGCAGATGATATTGTGTTGATGGCTGAAAACCCTGATAATTTGCAGAAAATGATAGAAACTATGTATCTCTGGTGTAAAAAATTGCGCCTTGCTATTAATAATTAAAAAAAGCAGGTTATTCACTTTAGAAGGAAGAGGGTTCCTCAGAGTAGTTACACCTTTAATTTTGGTGATGATTCCTTAAAGTTTACCTCATCTTATAAATATTTAGGTTTTTTTTTGGATGAGAATATGATGTTTCAGGAAGGAAAGAAATTACTAGCAGATTCTGCGGGAAGAGCTCTAGGGGGTTTGCTAAGCAAAATGAAATCTTGCCCAGATCTTGGTTTTTCCATTTTTACACAACTTTACGAATCGTTAGTTGACCAGTTCTATTTTATGCTGCAGGAGTTTGGGGTTCCAAAGAAACATTTGAATGTCATTCTGTTCAACACCGAGCATTAAGATGCTCTCTGGGTGTGCATAACTTAGCAGCAGAGTTAGCTGTGGAGGGGGACACAGGATGGGTTCCTTGTGTAGTTAAACAGAATTGTGAAATGGTGCGTTTATGGAACCGTCTTGTTAGTCTTCCGGAGGAAAGGTCTCGTCTCTCGTCTCGTCTTCCTCCGCTTATCCGGGTCCGGGTCGCGGGGGCAGCATCCCAACTAGGGAGCTCCAGGCCGTCCTCTCCCCGGCCTTGTCCACCAGCTCCTCCGGCAGGACCCCAAGGCGTTCCCGGACCAGATTGGAGATGTAACCTCTCCAACGTGTCCTGGGTCGACCCGGGGGCCTTCTGCCGGCAGGACATGCCCGAAACACCTCCCCGGGGAGGCGTCCAGGAGGCATCCTGACCAGATGCCCAAACCACCTCAACTGGCTCCTTTCGATCCGGAGGAGCAGCGGTTCTACTCCGAGTCCCTCCCGAATGTCCGAGCTCCTCACCCTATCTCTAAGGCTGAGCCCGGCCACCCTACGGAGGAAACTCATTTCGGCCGCTTGTATCCGCGATCTCGTTCTTTCGGTCATTACCCAAAGCTCATGACCATAGGTGAGGATTGGGACGTAGATCGACCGGTAAATCGAGAGCCTGGCTTTCTGGCTCAGCTCCCTCTTCCCCACGACAGATCGGCTCAGCGTCCGCATCACTGCAGACGCCGAACCAATCCGCCTGTCGATCTCCCGATCCCTCCTACCCTCACTCGTGAACAAGACCCCGAGATACTTAAACTCCTCCACTTGAGGTAGGACCTCTCCCCCGACCCGGAGGTGGCAAGCCACCCTTTTCCGGTCGAGAACCATGGTCTCAGATTTGGAGGTGCTGATCCTCATCCCAGCCGCTTCACATTCGGCCGCGAACCTACCCAGCAAGAGCTGAAGGTCAGAGCTGGATGAAGCTAGGAGGACCACATCATCCGCAAAAAGCAGAGACGAGATTCTCCTGCCACCAAACTCGACACACTCCACACCACGGCTGCGTCTAGAAATTCTGTCCATAAAAGTGATGAACAGAACCGGTGACAAAGGGCAGCCCTGGCGGAGTCCAACCCTCACTGGGAACAGGTCCGACTTACTACCGGCTATGCGGACCAAACTCACGCTCCTCTGGTAAAGGGACTGAATGGCCCTTAACAGAAAGCCACCCACCCCATACTCCTGGAGCGTCCCCCACAGGGTGCCCCTGGGGACACGGTCATAAGCCTTCTCCAAATCCACAAAGCACATGTGGATTGGTTGGGCAAACTCCCATGCCCCCTCCATCACCCTTGCAAGGGTATAGAGCTGGTCCACAGTTCCACGGCCAGGACGAAAACCACATTGCTCCTCCTCTATCTGAGATTCAACTATCGATCGGACCCTCCTCTCCAGTACCTTGGAGTAGACCTTTCCAGGGAGGCTGAGGAGTGTGATCCCCCTATAGTTGGAACACACCCTCAGGTCACCCTTCTTAAAGATGGGGACCACCACCCCGGTCTGCCACTCCCTAGGAACTGCCCCCGATGACCACGCAATGTTGTAGAGACGTGTCAACCATGAAAGCCCTACAACATCCATAGCCTTGAGATACCCAGGACGAACCTCATCCGCCCCCGGGGCTCCGCCGCTGTGTAGTTGTTTGACTACCTCAGCAACTTCTGCCCCCGAGATCGGACAGTCCATCCCCAGGCCTCCCAGCTCTGGTTCCTCCTCGGAATGCGCATTGGTGGGATTGAGGAGCTCCTCAAAGTATTCCTTCCACCGTCCGACTATAGCCTCAGTTGACGTCAGCAGCTCCCCATCCCCACTGTAAACAGTGTGAGCGAGTTGCTGCCTTCCTCTCCTGAGGCGCCGGACAGTTTGCCAGAACCTCTTTGGAGCCGATCGATAGTTTTTCTCCATGGCCTCACCAAACTCCTCCCACGCCCGAGATTTTGCCTCGGCAACTGCCAATGCTGCACCCCGCTTGGCTATCCGGTACCTGTCTGCTGCCTCCGGAGACCCACAGACCAGCCACGCCCTGTAGGCCTCCTTCTTCAGCCTGACGGCTCCCCGAACCTCTGGTGTCCACCAGCGGGTACGGGGGTTGCCACCACGACTGGCACCGGCCACCTTACGACCACAGCTAGCAACAGCCGCCTCGACAATCGCAGAGTGGAACAAGGCCCACTCGGACTCAATGTCCCCCACTGCTCTCGGGACGTGGTCAAAGCTCTGCCGGAGGTGGGAGTTGAAGACCGTCTTGACAGGTTCTTCTGCCAGGCGTTCCCAGCAGACCCTCACTATGCGTTTTGGTCTGCCAGGTCTACGCGGCATGTTCCCTTGCCATCTGATCCAACTCACCACCAGGTGGTGATCAGTTGACAGCTCCGCCCCTCTCTTCACTCGGGTGTCCAAAACATACGGCCGCAGGTCAGATGATACGACTACAAAATCTATCATCGACCTGTGACCTAGGCTGCCCTGGTACCAAGTGTACCGGTGGGCATCCTTATGTTCGAACATGGTGTTCGTTATGGCCAAACTGCGGCTTGCACAGAAGTCCAATAACAAAACACCGCTCGAGTTCTGATCAGGTGGGCCGTTCCTCCCAATCACACCCCTCCAGGTCAAGCTGTCATTGCCCACGTGAGCATTGAAGTCCCTCAGCAGGACAATGGAGTCCCCTGATGGAGCACTATCTAGCACTCGTCCCAGGGACTCCAAAAAGGATGGGTACTCTGAACTGATATTTGGCCCATAAGCACAAACAACAGTCAGGACCCGTTCCCCGACCCGAAGGCGCAAGGAAGCTACCCTCTTGTCCCCCGGGGTAAACCCCAACACACAGGCAGAGAGTCTCGGGGCTAACAAAAAGCCAACCCCAGCCCTCCGCCTCTCACCCGGAGCAACTCCAGCAAAGTAGAGTGTCCAACCCCTCTCCAGGTCTCGGGTTCCAGAGCCAATGCAATGTGTCGAGGTGAGTCCGACTATATCTAGCCGGTACCGCTCAACCTCTGCCACAAGCTCCGGCTCCTTCCCCGCCAGCGAGGTGACGTTCCATGTCCCAAAAACTAGTTTTCTTGTCCGGGGATTGGACCGCCAAGGCTCCCGCCTTGGTCTGCCACCCGATTCACATTGCACCGGACCCTTCATGTTCCTCCTGCGGGTGGTGGGTCCACAGTTGGACGAGCCCATGTATCCGGTTCGGGCTGGGCCCGGCCGGGCCCCATGGGCGAAAGGAAAGGTTAACTAAGAAAATATTTAACTGGGATAAAACACATTTTCATCCATGGTTTAGAGATATTTCAGTTATTTTAGTAAATGAAGACATGGGCATAATTCTTCAAAATAACTTAAAATGTGACATTACTTGTGTCAGACATGAGTTGGATATAAAATACAGGGAACAATGGAAGAAGGATATTTGGAATAAACCAAAACTTAGAAATTATGTACAATTTAAAAGGGATTATAATACAGAATTATATCTCAAATGTAAATTAACAAGAAGACAAAGATCTCTCTGTGCTCAAATAAGAGCGGTCACCCTCCCTTTGGCAGTGGAAGTGGGACGATTTAAAGGAATACCTTGGGATTCTCGTCTGTGCGAGTTTTGTGATTCCAATGTGGTTGAGAATGAATTCCATTTAGTCTTTCCTTGTTCCTTGTATTGTGATTTGAGAGAGTCCTTATTTGAATTTATCCAGTCGAAAAATCCCGATTTATTTTGGAAGCAGGAAGCTGAAATTATGTAATGGTTGTTTGAAAATAATATTTTTGTTGTAGCTAAGTTTGTGGAAAAGGCTTGGTATAGACGCCAAAGTATTCTATACACCATATGAGAAATACGTGGTCATAGTTGTGTTTGTTAGCTATGTTGTGTATTAATCTGTATCACGCAGCCATGTTATGATTTATTGAATGTTGTAGTGTCTAATAAGCCCGTGTGGGCTGGGCACCTTTATGGTGTATGACACTTAAATAAATTAAATCAATCAATCTAATCGGCGTCCTTGTTAACCTACGCTCTCGGTCACTTCAGCGGCTCACGCCACGAAGGCTCACGCCATGCAGCGATCGTTTCGGCGTGAGCTCTAATTTCTTCGCGAGTCGTGAATGAGCCGCGTCAACTCTGGCAGGAAGTCAAACTAAAACAGGAGAGGCAGGCTGGTAAATTAAACTAAATAAAGAAATTTTTCAAAATAAAACACTGCGATTGATAAATGTGATCATTTTTGTGTGTCTAAACAGACTAGAGAGATGAAAATGAACAAACGCACTCGGCGTTTCCATAATTTTAAATGCAGTTTTTACAGCAAAAGATGGATTTAATAAATGTGATTACAAACAAATAAACAGCAGCAGGATCAGCGCAGTTTCCGATATCAACAAGCAGGGCAAACTGGTTATACACACACACACACACACACACACACACACACACACACACACACACACGCACAGCAAAGGTACGGGGTTGGGGGGGTTTGGAAAACATTAGGTGTGAGCAGAAGCGCTCGTTGGAAATTCTCGCCTGATGTGAACAGAGGAGCAACGGGCAGCGCGTGAATTTCGTGAGCGATCCGCTTCGCAGCTGGTGTGTTCTGGGACACCGTCTAGATTTCTGGGCTACATTTGGAAGACTTGGAACAACTACCTCAGTTATTGTATCTGCTCAGGTCCTTTTCTTTTTGGATGACTGACTTTAAAAGCATCTTATGAAGGATTGGACCATCAGAGTAGATGGATAAAACACCCCTGTTACATACGTTTTATTGTGTTCTAATCTAATTACTTTCACCTACAGATCCTGGCACAATGTTTACTGTGTTCTTAAAAAAGGACAACTGGGTTTCTACAAGGACAACAAGACTGTCAGTAGTGGTGTTACATATCACGGAGAGATGCCCATCAACCTAGAAGACGCTGTTTGTGAAATAGCCCACGACTATAAAAAGAGGAAAAATGTGTTCAAGCTCAGGTGAGAAGAAAGACCCGTTTAAGAGGCGCCTCTTTGGGGTTAACATGAATGCATAGTTTGTGTCCTGTAGCAGTGTTGCCAACTGTTTTTGACTGAAAGTAGCTGAAGTTCCCCCCAAAAGTTACTAGATGTCACCAGATGACGTCACGTGCTAATTTACATATTGATGACGTCATCACGCCACATTAGCGTTCGTTTTCCCCATAGCATTTAATATATATATATATATATATATATATATATATATATATATATATATATAATAGGACTAAAAGGGAGGAAAATAAAAACTGTTATATGTTACAGTTATTAATTAGTATGAATAAAATGGCCCAAATTGCTTTGAAATGTACAATAAATTCCAAAACTACCAATAAAGTGGCATTAAGACAGATATGGTGTGGTGATCCAAACAGTTCTGTTGTAGGATATAACTCAGACCTCCTGCTCTCCTCATTCTCACAGACATTCTCCTAAAAAGCTGTTTTTTACACCTCATAGTTTCTCAACTTCTCTGTTGTGTATTCTCTCCATCGTGATAATAACGGCGCACCGAGCAAAAGGGTGCGGCTGTCTCATAGTATAACCATCCCTGTGTCTCTGAAGGAAATTCAGATGAGCCACAGAGCTGCGTGTGTAAACGGGACGGTAGTTGAAACTCCCGATGACTTTATTTGCCAAATGCAGGAAAAGCCAAAGCGTCTGACGGCTGCAGAACCAGGGATGGCAGGTTGACGCCCGCGCCGTCTCTAGTAGAAGCGTGAGCCTGCAGCAATATGAAAGCAGCAGACGTAAATCGGCGGTCTCCAGCTCTGCAGCTGTACTTTGTCTTCAGCGAATCAGACCGTCCGAAAACGGTTTATGATTGGTCAGTCCTCGTGCACATGTGCAGATTATCGTTCTCTTTCCTTACTCCCAGAAGAACGGTTCAGAGTGCAAATGGTTTCTTTGTTGCTTATCTGTGGGGAATATCTACATGAAAGTTCTACAGAAAGTAGCAACGGGTCCTGAGAAATGTCGCTAAGTTTGTCGCTAGGTGCTTTTTGGAAAAAAAGTTGTTGAGGGGGGTCAAAAAGTCGTTAGGAACAGTGACAAAGTCGCAGAATTGGCAACTCTATCCTGTAGTTCATTCTTCTCACACCTTTCTGCAGGCTAGGAGATGGGAAGGAGTATCTGTTCCAAGCCAAGGATGAGGTGAGACACACACACACACACACACAGTTTGTGCAGTGAATGAACAATGAAGCGTATTAAACTGATGTTTATTTTAAGGCGGAAATGAGCTCCTGGATCCGTTCCATCCTGAACTCCATTCCAGCAGGATCAAAGGACTCCCCCCTAGGTCCCCGGCCCCTCAGCCGTGCCATGACGATGCCTCCGATCTCCCCAAGCTCGGGGGATGGCGTCACCATGCGCAGCAAGGATGGAAAAGAGAAGGATCGTGAGAAGAGATTCAGCTTCTTTGGCAAGAAGAAATAGAACATTCATACAATAATGGATGGGAATCAATAATTCAACAAACTGTGGCAGATAGAACAGAAGGTACACACAGGTCATGCAAACACACTGCTCTCAGCACGGGCTCCCAGGAATTTGTCGACAGCTTACAGAAAACACGTCACTTCCTCTCTGACTTTGGTTTTATGTTATTGACTTTCTGTTCACCCAGTTTGGAGTTCACATTTAGCTTCACTCATCCGGAGTCGGACGAGTCTGTTCCAGGTTTGGCTCCTCAGTAGGACTATTTTAACGTGGATGAGCAGTTAAAGGGAGCTGCCGTGATGCCGGTAAAACTACGACTCTCCACTCAGCTGGACTACAGTTTAAATTCCCCTCCGTTAAACCCTCTCCGTCTCTTTTTATGTTCCTGGTGTTGATGGTATTAACCTGATCGATATTATTGATAATATTATTATTTCTATTTATCTTTTGCAATTGTTGGTTTGACAAACAGAATTTAGTTCATTATTCTGATTAATGTTGTGGAAAGAAACACACTTGGTTCTGCTAGTAGAGTGCATCGAGCTAGCTCTCGAATTTATTTGGTTTTGCTTTTTTTAAGGAACAAAAGCGACAAAAACAAAGCTCCAGTTTTAGCCATGTGCTGTCAGTGATCACAGGTTCCAGGGAGAAGTAATAAATATATTTAATAAGTGTTTTCATTTTAGTTAACCTCTAATTTTTGCCTATATTTGATTTTTCTTTTGAGTGATCTTTTCTGCTTGATTTTAAATCTTATTTTTATTTTCTGTACAAAGCTGAGAGATTAGTTTTCTAGTGTGTGTGTGTGTGTGTGTGTGTGTGTGTGTGTGTGTGTGTGTGTGTGTGTGTGTGTGTGTGTGTGTGTGTGTGTGTGTGTGTGTGTGTGTGTGTGTGTGTGTGTGTGTGTGTGAGAGAGAGAGAGAGAGCGAGCATTGTGGTGCTGTGGATTTAGCATGTTTTCTTGTTTCTGATTAAACCTAGAGAGATGGATGCTGCGTTTTGGTGGTCTAATGCAGATGTAAACCAGACAAACACAGATGGATAATCCTGGCATCATTTCTCTTCCTTCTTGGTTTAAAGTTTGTGTAAGCTGATATTAACATTCCTCTAGATACTTTTTAGTTTCCGCCTTTTAAACCCTTTCTGTTCCTGCTATCCACTTGCGCGAAGACATGAGGGCCGTTTGTAGACGAGATGCTGAAGTCTAGTGGCAGCCTGCAGGGATGCCCGCAGGACGGATGGACATTAGTGAGGGGTGTAGAGGTGAAGTAAGATGGGCAGTGAGAAAATACGATCTTTCCAACAGTAAGACGAGTCTGAGCTTTAGGTTTACTCTGAGCATTTTTTTTATTAACAGCCCTCCGTTCAAACAGTCTTATGGGAAGTTTAAAAAAAAAAGTTAAAACTGTGCCCTGTGGCAATGACCTGATGTATGTCAGTGGATTATAAACTCAGCTCTGCTGTAAGCTACATCAGCGACATCGACGAGGGAGAACGTGCTACGGAAAGTCTTTTTTGAAGAGCTTTTTTTTACTCTTAGGCGAATGGCATGATCTTGTGTAGGTTTATATTTGTACGTGCATCATGGCCATCTCTTGTCTTAACGTGCTCTGAGGACTTCGTCTTTCAGGTCCGGACTGCAGCTCATTTCCTCGTCCGAGTCAGATCGTCTCCCTTCTAGTTCAACGGTTTCATCATTATTTGGACACGTAAGATCTTGTGAATGTAGGCACTAATTAGTAATCAGATGAATGTTACACCCAAGTGCTGCGATGGTACCACCAGCTGGAAGTTTAAACAACTTAATTTTTTTCTTCTACAAAGAGTTTTTTTTTCCCCAAATTTAAGAGGAAATTCCTAAACTTCCAGACCGACACTGAACGCTCCGGTCTAAACGTGAGATCCCGTGTGTGTTAGATCCTCTACAGCATAGGAACCACACAGCATACATAAGTGAGCCAAAGTGATTGGCACAGTTTTAAATGGAGGGACCCCCCCCCCCCCCACTGCTACTTGCTTGCATCATCTAACAGCACCTAGTTTCAGCTCGGACGTCTTTCGGTGTGTATTTCCAAATCGGCTCATCTGAATGTGAAAAGGCCGAGCTGGTCATGTGACGTAAGTCAGACGTGCTCTAGCGCACACCACAGCATCCCAGGTCACCCAGGCCTGGAACGGTGTCCTCAGCTTGGCTGGGATTTGAATTTGCATCCTCCTAAAGTAGCTGATCTACGACCAGAGCATGAGAAGTGTGCATTATAGATGTCGGACAGCTTTTGGGTTCTTAAGCGATACTGATAACTCTATACTTAATGAAGAAGGAAACAGCTTTTACGTGTTAATAGATATGAGTGAATACATACTGGTGATAGTTTGAGCTTCCTCTTGTTACAAGAAGCCTGAAGATTTGCTGTCCAGTGGGAGCTTGTGTAGTTTTCTTTTTTAATCCAGCGGTTTTGTCTTGCAGCATTTTTGATGAGCCTTTCCTCCTTTATCTTCATTTCTCGGTACTTTTGACAAATGTCTGTTCTTTCCTCTGTAAATCAGAGTTGTTAATACCACTACTTCAACTATTATTATTATTATTATTATTATTGCTATGATGATCATTATTGCTACTGTTGTTACTGTTACTACTATTGTTACTAATGCAACCTATTGCAAAAATTACAACTGCTGTCCATTTTCAGGTACGTGTCTGTAATGCCAGACCCTTCCACACGATGTCAGTGTGCTGTGGAGCATTTTCATTACCAATCAAAAATACTGTTTGTTGACTTGTGTATCTACATCTAATTATTAGGAATAAAACATGGTTTAACCAATAATGTGTTGTTTGGGCTTATTTTACTTTTAAGAAGTTGGCACTAATATGTGTTGAAGCACAACAAAAATAACTCTAAAGTCCTGTTTGACACCATAAACCAGATTGTTTCACCTCACGTCCCTCTTATGCCAGTTTACTCAAGGTCTGACTGTAACAACTTTCTAGCATTCTTTGAGAATAAAATCAGAAATATCAGGGCAAGTTTTTCACCCCCATCTACTTCCTACCCCACCATCCAACTACCTTCCTCCCAGTCATGGTCTGTCTTTACTCCTGTAGATTTCCAGGACATTTGTCTCATTCAGAAACACATGAAACCAACCTCATGCCCTGCTGATTTCATTCTTACTGCCTTGTTTATCAGGATGTTTGACCAAATTGGCCCATGCATTGTAGATTTTTAAAATTAATCCCTGCAATCTGGCTCTGTACCATCTGTTTTCAAACATGCAATTGTTGAACCCATCCTTAAGAAACAAAGTTTGGACTCATCTCAGCCTAAAAGTCACAGACCCATTTCTAAATTACCTTTCATCTCTAAAATATGGGAAAATGTGGCAGATCAACTGATTACTCTTCTGGAACTACACAACAGTTTTGATAAATTCCAGTCTGGTTTTGGTAAAATGCATTCAACAGAAACAGCTTTGCTTAAAGTTTCCAGTGACATGATGGCTGCAGACAATGGGGAACTCGGTGTTAGTATTGTTAGATCTTTCTGCAGCTTTTGACACTGTTGATCACAGCACCTTTACAGACTTGGTGACTCGGTGGGGATCTCTGGAACTGTTCTAGACTGGTTTAGATCGTACCTTTCTAACAGAAGTTACAGTGTCTGTATAAACCAGATCATGTCAGATTCTACCAATCTGTTCTGTGGGGTACCCCAAGGCTCTGTTTTGGGTCCACTGTTGTTTCTACTGTACATACACCCTCTTGGACAGATAATTGACTCTTATCACCTATATGCTGATGATATTCAGCTGTACTGCCTCTTTAGGGATTCTAAGTTCTATAAACTGTCTGAATTACTAGAGTGTCTTTCAGCCACCAGCTGGCTAGAAGATAACTTCCTTCAGTTAAATTCTGAAAAGACTGAATGTCTGTGTGTTGCCCCTGAGAGCATGGTTCCCCTGATTTGTCTAAAACTTGGTCATTTATCCTCTGCTGTCAAGACAAACTTAAGGAATTTGGTTGTTGTTTTTGACCAATCAATGTCTCTTGAAGGTCACTCAAAAACGTTGGTCTGAAACTGTTTTTATCATTTAAGAAATATCTCCAAACTGCGAAGGTTGGTGTCAAAACATGAACTTGAATGGTTATCATGCCTTTATCTCCTCCCGTCTAGATTACTGTAACACACTCTTCACATGTTTTAACAAAAAAGCCCTTGACCGCCTTCAGTTGGTCCAGAACTCTGCAGCGAGGCTCCTAACTGGAGCAAACAGAAGAGCTCACATCACTCCTGATGTCTCTGCACTGGTTACCCGTTCACTTAAGAGATCATTTTAGAATCCTGACTACAAGTTTCAATGCTCTACATGGTCAAGATCCTCCCTATATTACTGAACTGTTAAAGCCTTATGCTCCAACCCAGCCCTCAGGTCCACACACCAGAACCTTCTAGAAGTTCCAAAGACCAGATTCAAAAGTCGAGGTGATTGCTCCTTCCAGACTGTTTCACCCCGACTTTGGAATGATCTTCCTTTATCCTTACGTAGCATTGACAGTCTGGACACTTTCAAATTTAACAGCTAAAGACCCTTTTATTTAAAGCTGCTTTCAAAAAAATCTTTATTTTTAACTCAAATTTGTAATCTTTCATCTGTTTATGAAATTTTATAATTTTATGACTATTTTTTCTGATGTTAACCTATTTCGGTTTTGAGATCATTATGATTTTATGACTTTGTTTTTTTTTTTGAAGCACTTTGTGATTCTACCTGTGATAAGTGCTATATAAATACATGTAACTTACTTACACAACAATAAACAAGCGGAAAGTTTCAGTGGTGGTCTTGCAAGGCAACGGCATGCTGGTATTTAAATTTTTACAGCAAGTCAGTAAGTATTTAACAAAAAACAACTGAACACCGTTCCACTTTTTTCTAGAAGTTTGTCGATCATTTTCTTGATGCAAAGCTGTAGAATAACATCCTTGTCTGACTTATTCTTTACCTCTGTAAAAACGTCGGTCCTTACATAACTGCACTTTCAGATCTAAATCGAGTTTCTTTTCTGTGTGTTCTGTAGTAATGCGAGAGCCTCTCAGCTCCTCCTGACTTTTAAACAAACAACATGAACCTGAGTGATTAAAATCAGCAGTTTTCTCAAACCAACTTCAAATATTTTTGCATTTTTTACCTTTCCTCCAGGTCTATTGACAACATATTTTGTCTGTGGACCTTTCCCAGTGATATACTGGTGAAACTCAAAGATTTTGAATATGGTGCAAAAGTCAATTTATTACATTATTCCAATTTAGACTGAGAGACCATCTAAAGGCCCAGGAGCCCTTTGCTGGTGTTCTGGATTAATTAGCTGATTAGAGTCTAGAATATTGAACCTTTTCACAATATTTTAATTGATATTATGAATGTGGGGTTTAAATAAGCTGTAATCATCACAATTGTAACAAATAAAGGCTGAAGTATCTGGCTTTGCATGTAATACATTTATCGCATATGTTAGTTTCACCTTCTAGTTTGAGTTACTGAAATAAATAAACTTCTATAATATTCTAAGTTTTTCGAGTTTCACATGTAGTAAAATGTGGTTAGACTGTTTAACGTTTAGGGGTTTTATAACCAAAAAGAAAAGACAAGTTCCATCATTTCAGTGTCCCCTTTAACATACAATTAACTGAAATGTATTTAAAGTGCATTGATCAGTTTTAGAGCTCACTTTAGACCTACACAGCTCATCAGAGTTCTGAACAAAATAGTCAGGTTTTCACATGTTTTGTTTTTTCTAACACAAGAAATCTTAAAATTAACTGAATTAAAAATGAATATCAACGCAGCGTAAACAGCCGTACATACAGTGGGTACGGAAAGTGTTCAGACCCCCATCAGTTTTTCATTTTGTTATATTGCAGCCATTCACTTGACTAGCTGTCTATATTCTGAGTACCTTATCATTATGAGACACTGTCTCCTTATTATGATATAGGTATCTATTGTGAGATGGTAAATCATAATAAGGAGATAGTGTCATAATGATAAGATACAACCTCAGAATAAAGATAGCTAAGTCATAATAATGAGACATATTTTTATCAGAGCAGCGGGAATGGGCTTCCATACAAACAAGAGAAAACAAATATGGGGAAAAAGTTTTGTGTCTAACAAAAACCATGACAGAAGCGCGTGGCCACCAGCAGGGGGCGCTTGGGTTCATGTTCTTTCCGCCTACAAGTCCAGACAGCGGGCACTCATTACCCAACAGCCACTTTAACCGTTTTTTAAAAGCAAGATGGCAGCTGTTGTTGAGAATGTTGTCAAACTGTAAGTAGCTACTGGACTTTTCTACATACCACACACACCTGAGCAGAGGTGACACACAACGAGCTCGCGACACAACGGTTGTGCGGTTACTCACACTCACCGACTCCCTCGTCGGCAAGCTAGTTACTAGTCCAGCTGAGTTATCGGGCTATCCGTCGTGTTTGTGTGCTCACATCCTGGAAAGGAAGTGTAAGTTAGCAGACACGTAGCTAACCTTCCCAAGTCACCAGTAGTGAGGAGAAACGTGTGTGAGCTAATGATGGTGCTACCGTAGTAAGTTGTTGTCTCTGTGGTGAGATGTTATCGTGTTTTTAAGCCTTGGGTGATTAAAGGGGGTCGCTCGCTAACGAGCTAAAGAGTCTGTTTACGGCGACTGGCATTGATGAATGAAAAGCTGAGGTTGGACATGTCTTTTCTGCTCCGAGAGTCTAGCCCCAGCAGCATGACTGCATGTCAGAGTCAACTCTGCTCAGACACGTTGGTGCTTTGATCAACAGAAGGAGCTCAAACCTACTTCCGTTTTCTCTCACGGTGTGGTGGTGCAGTCCAAATCCTGGCTAATGGTGCACGCTTTAAAAGAGCGGCAACATGTAACACCCTAAACACTTGCGAGACAACTTGAGAATATAAATTACACTTAAAACGAGTCAGTTTAGCACCTACATACTGTCACTTAAGTGATGAACACTATAAGAACGTGTGGGAGTATGTACTTAGTACTTTACAGACATTTTCAGCAATGTTTCCCTTTAGAAACAATAAAACATTAAAGTAAATTTAAAACTTTAAGCCCTTTTTGTGTCTGTTTCTTAACTTTTGCCTCAGTACCCCTTTCTCCTATCAGGCCCTGTCAGTGAAAGCATTTATTTACACTTTTGCCTCATCCTAGGCCTATAAAGCAACTCCTGAACTAGATTAATACGAAGTTGTTGAGCTGAATGAGGTCCCTGACCTCTGTGATCTTGGCCCTTTGAAAAGTTTGCAGGTTTCTGGCAACATGATATATAATGCTCTCAGTCTGATTTTTCTTTCATCTGAGTAGATCGGTGTATTATTGGCATTTCTCAACTTTATTTTAGGTTTTTAACATCTATTTTGAAGCCCAATTGTTTATTTTTAATTTATTAACCTTGACTCACCTTTTATGATTTTGATCTCACGTACTACCGGGAGAGAGGTCAACAAGTTTAGATGAGGATGTTTATTTAGTTAGATCTTTTTGGGATTTCATCAAAACTCAAATGTTTCTATTTAATAATGCTAATATTGCAAATATGTCATATCTTTAAATAAATGAATTTGTTCTTTACGATCAATGCTTATTTATGATTTATTTGTTTATAATCTTACTTTTGAACTAGTTTTCTGAGTGTAAATGTGCTATGTTCTTTCGCGAAGACTGAGAGCGAGGCCTGTTGCAGATGTTAAAGCTGACTTTTGTTTCCGTTACCACTGCAAGGCTTCAAAAGGAACAGAAATGTCATAACTGTGACGTTGTCTCTATCATAGATGAGGCTGTGGAAAGTGCTCCAGGGCATCTCCACAGCCTCAGCTGCTGCATAATAAAAGACTGTTTATTTTAATTGTCTGCTCCTTTTTTCCTGGGATCTAACGATTCAAACATGCACTCAGATGTCTGTCATGAGTTAGTTGGCTTCCGTTTTATTGTTATAAGTTAATGTTGAAAATCGGAGCATCAAGCACCTTTTGAATGATCCTTTTATTTGAAAACACAGAAACTTGTAAGTTTTTGTCCTGTGACCCAGTCTCCCTGTGGCCGTGTTCTGTTAGGTTGGGAGAGCAGTACTACCGAGATGCCTTGGAGCAGTGTCACAACTACAACGCCAGGCTCTGCGCCGAGCGGAGTGTACGGATGCCCTTCCTGGACTCTCAGACCGGCGTGGCTCAAAGCAACTGCTACATCTGGATGGAGAAGAGACACCGGGGACCAGGTGATCACAGAAACAAGGAAAAACTTTTGTCTTTGTAACTTTATTCTCCCATCGGTCTGGCTAGTGCATACTGGTTTGAACTGGTTTAAGTGGGTGTTATGCAGACGGATGTGCTCTGCTGCTCTTCAGGCATGGCTCCAGGGCAGCTCTACACCTACCCCTCCAGGAGGTGGAGGAAGAAACGGAGATCTCATCCTCCAGAGGATCCACGGCTCATTTTTCCTCCTGTCAAGTCAGGTAGCTCACTAACAAGCTCTGCTCGGTCTGTTTCCAGCCCAGAGATGAAGCCAGGCCAGAGCTTTTTGTGTTTTCCATGAAAGAATGCTGAATGTTTCAGTTTTAAATTAGAAAGAAGCCCAGATAAATCCTCATTTGTTTGCTTGTATATTCATGTGCCAGACAGAAACCGAGGACTCGTTTCTGTTGAGTTTAGCCTTCATCTTTTCTCGTTTTGATGCTTTTTGTCCCCACAGAGCTGGATTTAGGCCTGAAGAAGGATGGACTGTTGTCATCAGATGGCAGCAGCCTGGAGGCTCTGCTGAAGGGAGAGTCCTTGGACAAGCGGACCTCCACAGAACCCCGGGGGTCAGAGGAGGACTCAAACCAGAGTGATTACACCGGAAGTCTGAACCCTGCTGCCCGCAATCGAAAGGTTTCTGTCTCATGAGCTTTATTGTTGAATATCGGGACGTTTGGGCTGAGGTGCCTTGACTCAATCAGTTTTCTCATCCACAGAGAATCCTCGAGCCAGACGACTTCTTGGATGACCTTGATGATGAAGACTACGAGGAGGACACGCCTAAAAGAAGAGGCAAAGGGAAAGGGAAGGTGAGGAGAGCTCCCAGTGGGTGGGAGGGACTGTCCTCCCAGCCTGCCTGACTCTGGTGATGTCCACAGGGCCGAGGAGTGGGCAGCAGCAGGAAGAAGCTGGACACAGCAGCTCTGGAGGACAGAGACAAGCCCTACGCCTGTGACAGTGAGTCCTCATGGACACGTTTGTGGTTTAAACACGTTTGTGGTTTAATGGTCCAGGTCCTCCTGACGGTGATGCTTGTTTCATCTCTGCTGGGTTTCTTGACATGATGATCCAACTCTGACATGTTTCCGTGAGTCGGTGGGACTTTGAGTTTTCTGACTGTTCTGCTTGATGTTTTTTTCCTCTCAGTTTCACTTCCAGCAGCGGAACGTTGCAGACTGATCCTGAATCCGTCTCTCTGTGCTCCTGTCTGTCCTCTTCTTCTCTTTTTCAGACTCTATCAAACAAAAGCATTTTTCAAAACCTTCTGAAAGAGGTATTTTTCTCTTCATTACCCCTAATCTCTTATTTTGTCTCCACTGTTTCTGCTTTTGTCCGTGTTGCCAGTTAGGTGTGCTTTCTGTAGATTTCAGCTAGAGTAGGAGAAACCGTTTCACATTTTCTTTGAACCTAAAAGGTTTCAGTCAACAACAGACCAAGTGTTTAGTCGTGGTCACTCGTTTTGGCAGCTTATTATGCATAAACACATTTACAGTTTTGAGCTTCTGGATTTCTCTCCAACATGCTGGAAGCCAAGATCTTTGAGCCAATTTTGTCTTCAGACTAGGGCTGCTCAATTAATCGAATTTTAATCACGATTACGATCTGAGTTTTGAACGATTATAAAAAACATAACAAGCCGATTATTTGCTCCTCCCGCTTGCGCTGCCCTAAGTTGCAAATGAAGCGCTCCTCACAGTGTTGCCAATTTAGCGACTTTGACGCTATTTCTAGCAGCTTTTCAGACCCCCTTCTTGACTTTTTAATCCTAAAAGTACCTAGCGAACATCTCAGAAACATCTCTGGTAACCCTTAGCTACTTTCTGGATAACTGTCGTCGACATTTCCTGCAGGTTAGCTAAACACTCCGCCTGTGCTCCGGACCGTTCTTCACAACATTAGGAAAGGGAATGATGCAGTGATGTGTCGGTCGCTAAAGACAGCTCTCGGAGCCGGCTCCTTGTTGGATTAACCAGAGTGAGTGACACACACACCGCACCTGCGGTCTCCTGAGCAGCTAAAAACAGCTAAATGTGCGCGTGCGGCGCGCTAAACACACGTGCAGCTTGCCCGATTGTGTGAGACCGGGGTGGGGGGGTGGGGGGTGCAGCTGTGGTTGGGACAATTATTACATTAACTGATGGGCCTGTAAATAAATAGTTTATAAATAAGGTAGAAATAAGTTCCTCACGCTGATAACTAATCTCTCTGAGGACACAGTGCTACAGCACCTTGACACGACTCAATAAATGTTATGTAACATTTTGTGAACATCAGTTTATTTGCATTTATTTGTTATAAATGCCACTCTATAATTCTTGCTGTCAGTATTTGCAAGATATTGGTATTTGGGTCTGTACTGGTTAGACTTAAATGAGTTAAACCAAGGTCTATAGCCCTTGGGTCATAGACTATGAGCTATAAGTATATTGGTCCTTTTATCCTGGGAATCAGGAGTTCTTTTAGTGATCATCTTGTTTCTTATTTTTGTCCTGATTGTGCCCTGAGCAGTTTTATGACTGAATAAAAACAAATAAAATCAACATAAATTGAAAAATCGTCCTAAATAATCGTGATCTCAATTTCAGTCACCATAATCGTGATTATTATTTTTGCCATAATCGAGCAGCCCTACTTCAGACATCATCTTCTTCACCAGGGCTCATTTATTAACCGTACTCATGAACAGATCTGTGTGTACTTCGTACGTAGGAACGATTTTACGCATTGTGTGGTATTTACCAATTTGTACTTGTGCATAGAAATGTGCCTAAGTGTCAGAACAGCTGTGACCATCCATACAAACACCATCTAGTGGTTGAACGGGAAACTGCAGTACTTTCAGACATCCACACGTTCCCCATCTATAAAGTATTTTACTCCAATAAATAATTATGTTGGTGGAAAAACAGCTTTTTTGCATAATTAGTGCAAAAACCAATAAAAGACACGTGTGACTGACGGGAATCTGACATTATATCATGGCTGTCCTGTGTCAGAGGATTCAGCAGAGCGTGCTCTCAGGAGGGAACGCGTCCTCTGTGAGTGCTCTTATCTCCCCGAAGGAGATCCTTCTGGATCTGTGCCGTGATTCGGGACCCATTGTGGAGCAACAGATAAACCGCACGGATCCCATTCCAGTTCAGATTTTATTTTACAACTACGAGAACCCCACAGAACCTCCTCTGCTCCCCGATCATACTGTTGTCAAGGTAACCTGACCGAGTGACAGCTCAGAAGAGGCTGCACTCTCAGACATTTCCAAATAAAACTAACTCCAAACAGATAACAATGACAACCCATTACTCAACGATTTATCAGATTCAATATTTATTCCTGACGGGAACCTCTCATCTGTCCCAACCGCGTTTATAACCTCTGCAACTTGTTTCGTTCCTTTACACTTTGGCAGCCAGTGTCTCAATCTCGTTGTCAATAAAGTTTTTTTTGCTGAGGATGTAGCGTGACCAAATAAGGTTAATTGAGGGCGTTCCTCTATGTAAATTACTAAGAACGACACAAGCACCTGGGCTCACACAGGTGGGATTTATAATCCGACGGTTGCGGAGGAACGTCCGTACGAGAGGCCACCGCATGTTTCATGAATCAGCATTTTGACCGTTCGTACACACATTCTAAGTTTCATAGGAAGGAATATAAGATAGTTTCTGCGATTTCTACGCTTAATAAACGAGGGCCCCGGACTTCATGGACATGTGATCTTTGTCGATGTCAAGTTTATTTATAAAGCATATTTAAATACAATACAAAGATTACCCAAATGCTGTTCATCAGCAAACAACGATCAAACAAAAACGGCAACAACACAACAAAAAGAGGAAAATTACATATAAATCAAGGTTTAGATCAATTAAAAGAGAGAGTAAAAAGTGTGTCTTTAGAAGAGATTTAAAACTACAAACAGAATTTCTGTCTTTGGTACGTATGTTTGTGTAATTTTAGGAGACGAAAGTAAAAAAAGACGAGTTGCTTTATTAAATTTCATATTTAGACACAAATAGCATCACAGATGTTGTGTTTGGCTCTGTTGCTGCTTACTTCCACTGAACATCTAAAACGTTGAACTTTTTAGCACAAGTGTTGTAAAGGAGAGGTGGAGCTGTGTGTGAGTGAGACCTGGGTCATGTGACACGCAGCAGCAGACCAGTACCAGTGTTTGGCTGGTACTAATGAGCCTCGGTGCCTAGCCCAAAACCCAGTCTTTATTCTCTGTAGATTTTCATTTTGACCTTCTTATCACAGACCCGCAGTTCGAAGGCCTGGGCCTCAAATTGGACTCCTCCTCCTCCTCCAGAGGAGGTCCAGGTGTTCAGGTTTTCTTCACGGCTCGCGTAGAACCCCATAATGTTTCAGATGCAGTGGTCCGTACACGTGAGGCCATGTTGGTGCTAACTCATGATGGCTGAATGCTTTTTTAAGCTAACATAAGGCGACAGTTTTTCTGCTTATAATAAACCAGCCGACTAATTATATGCAACTTTTTAAGATAATGAAGTTGGCCTGAAGCTGTGGTCTGAGATGAGTCACACAAGCCGACTTCATGAGTCATGTTTCTCCTCGAACAGATGAAGATAAGCTAGAGCTTCCTCGTGTCATCTGAGTCCGTGCTTTTGTCCACCCATCGCCTTCCTCTTCACCTCTGCTCCCTGTAACCATCATTCCACATTCCATTTCTTCTAAAGGCCTCTGCTTTGATTTGGAGTCTGTTTGATGTCTGCGTGACTCTGCTTGATGTGCTGGTTTGTGTCTGTAGCCACTTTCCAGAGGTGCTTCTCCAACAGCCCGCTAGATGATGATGAAACAGAACCGTTAGAATTTTGAGGAAATGAAAAGCAGAGCTGGTGTGGCAATGAAAGGAGAAGTGCTGTCTCATGACAAACGTCACACACACACACACACACACACACACACACACACACACACACACACACACACACACACACACACACACACACACACACACACACACACCCTGTGACAACAGATTCACACAGTGCTGTCTCTGTGCTTTTTAACGTCAGTAGCTTCTCTTATCCTGTTGGTTAGTTTAGTGTTTTTGGTGAGGTTTACCCTCAGACGTGTTTGTAAATCAGGCGTGAGCATTTTATTTAAACATCACTAGTCAGGTCTGGGTGTGACGTCTGAAACTTGATCACCGTTAATGAGTTTAGAATTAGCTTTTATTCTCTAATAAATGAATTAATCAATAGAAAAGTTTATTTTGTCTTTACTCCGGCTTGATTGTCTGAATTTCTTTGATCTGAAACATTTAAGACATTTCTGATGGTGGGACTGAGGCTGAATACGTGCCTTCATTTTTAGTTACAAATAAAGCTTCATAAGGAATACATTAACCTACATAATTAGGTTTCTGAAGCAGGACTTTCTTTATTACAGTAATATTTTATGATTTTATGCAATGATGAATTTATTTTGTCTGATTTTGGTGGCAGTTTGTGGGAAACGCTACAAAAACCGCCCCGGCCTGAGTTACCACTACGCCCACTCCCACCTGGCAGAGGAGGAGGGGGAGGAGAAGGACGACGTGGACCTCAGCGAGCCGGCCTTGACGCTGCCGGATGAGCCAAAAAGTGAGCAATAAGCCCCAAAGGTCAACGAGGACAAACCTGAGATTATTGAATGTGTTTTTTTTCCTGACCAGCTCCCAAAAAGGGCCCAGATGGTCTCGCGTTGCCTAATAACTACTGCGATTTCTGCTTGGGAGACTCCAAAACCAACCACAAGACGGGCCAATCAGAAGAGCTGGTGTCCTGCTCTGACTGTGGACGCTCAGGCACGTTCAGCGTCACGGATGATGACCGCATCACATACGTGTTTATGGGCGAGTCCACTTGTAGCTGACAGTTTATGTTTGTGCAGGTCACCCCTCCTGCCTGCAGTTCACGCCCGTGATGATGGCTGCCGTGAAGACGTATCGCTGGCAGTGCATCGAGTGCAAGTGCTGCAACATGTGTGGCACTTCAGAGAATGATGTGAGTTAGCTGAAGAGATCCACATTTGAGCAGGAATGTAGTTTGTAAAAATGTCTCTGATTAAAAAAAGGTCCTGAAGAGAAAAGGTTGGAAAGTGTTGTTCAAAAGTTAACTGGAATCAGCAAATCAACAAAGTTGAGCCAGAAGGGGAAGCAAGTGTTAAATCTGAGCTTTTTGTTGTTTCTTTTAGGATCAGCTTCTGTTCTGTGACGACTGTGATCGAGGTTATCACATGTACTGTCTCAACCCGCCCATGTCCGAGCCTCCAGAAGGTAAATGGTGTAAACCTTTGTTGTCAAATAGAGTAGGCCTGTTTCCGCTGTGGGAGCCTCTGGGTAACTACCAGTCCTTCACAGCGTGTCTTCGTTTCTGGGCCGTTTCAAGTACCTGAGGTGGGGTTTGTACTCTGAAAAGGCCCAGTGGAGTCTTGGGTGGGACAATCGACATATAAATATTGGACAATGGGTTTCCATAGGCTCCAATAACACATTTTTGAAGATAAATGGGAGGTGGCCACCACCGCCATTTTGACCGTGTCACAGGTTCCGTCAAGCCCAGACAATTCCACAAAAGGGAAGAGAGGAGGAGCTGAGGGTGGGGCTGTAAGGCTGGGATCAACTGATGACACCTGGTCGAACTAGCTACAAGCTAACCTGAAGCTAATGCGGAGGTGGGAGCTAAGCTAACGGAGGTAGCAACCTAGCTACAACCGGAGTTAACTGTGCACAACACCAGAGCTTCTGAGTCAGATACGCCGGGCTGACCGCTGGGTAAAACCGGGTGGAACACAGAGGGCTCCGAGAGCTCCACAAGCCGGCAGCCGCACAGCAGACAAGCGCCGCTGCGATCTGAGATGCGCAGAGCTGCCGCTGGGGAGAACCGGGTGGAAAGGTTTCCATCCCAGAACTCCACAAGCCGGCAGCCCGCGCAGCAGTCAGGAGCCGCGATCAGACAGAGATGCGCCGAGCTGCGGGGAGGGGAGAAACGGGTGGAAAACATCGGTCTCCCGAGAGCTCCACCAACATGTTATATTTCAACCCATTTTCTAAAATGCAGCATTATGTTAAACGCACTGGGTTTTACCCTATTACATTTAAATTTCATGGTTAAACAGTACATGTTAAAATCTAAGCTCAGCTCGGCAGTGACCTAAAATACATAAATATAATTTTACTTACCGAAAATAATGAATTTGAGACTCCTTGGACGCTCTATTAGTGCAATTAATGCCACAGCAAGTCATTTTGTCCAACAATTGCACAAAAAATATCCAAAGCACAACACACAAACACTGAGACTCAAAATCCCGGAACAGTTTCCAAGCCAGACCGAGGCTCTACTGAGGCCTTTCCACGGAGCTAGCTCTGTGGTCACGTGGGTCGGATGCTCATTAATTATGCAGAAGTTTAGGCTTTTAATACACTTAAACAAAAGAGTGACAAAAAATTCACCCCCCTCAGAGTTGTCATGAGTGTAAACTAGATCATTTAAACCAAAAACATGTTTTGGTACCAGGCTGTAAACATGTTTATTTCTGCTGTGAAATTGGTATTTTTAACATGGGAGTCGATGAGGATTTGCTCGCTTCTGACACCAGCCCCCAGTGGATGAGGGTGGAACTGCAATTTTTGTCACTTCCTCGTTGGCCTCAATTTTTCACCCGCATTGTGGGGGCTTGGGTGGGACTTGTAGGTAACTCTTTCTGATTGGTTGTAACTCAGTAGGAAAGGACATCAGCAGACGTCCCCAAACAACTGGCATTAGTAAAACTGGAAGTGTTGCTGGTGAAGCAGACTGAAAAAAGAACATTTGCAGTGTTGGCGCTGCCTTTAGGTTGCCATTTAAACCCCTCCTACCCAGCGCTGGAATCTACGGTGGTCTCCTACAGATAACTGTAAAAAACAACACTTCTTCTGATCTTTGAATGCCACTTTTCAAATTGCGTAGCTGCTCTCCCCATCACCTTAGTGGATTAAGTTATAACATACGATGTTATTAATGTCCTTTTCTTGCTGATCAGTGACATCATTCACTGATGAAGTAGTCACGGTAAGCTGATGTCCATGCAAAGTTCATAAAGGGACGATTAAGGACCGGTCCAGCATATTTTCCCCACCACTTCCTCCCCTTCCAGAAATTTCCTGGAACTCCTGTAGTGAAAACAGTGATGTGGTACCGGTACCGTGTGGTTTAGGTGAAAAATACCACAAGATGTTTTCCTTTTAAGCCCTGTATGATCAGTTATCATTGTTGTTGCCTGCTGGTCTCTATCAAGCCTAAAATTTACAAAGAGTCTTCAGGATTTTAGGTCAGACTCCTATAAATCATTACATTTAAATATCAGGAAGAACTGGTGTTGGTTCTAGTGGGCCAAACCATTGCAATGCCATAATGGCATTTAAAACAGCAGCGTTACTATCAAAAGTTTGCTTCTTCAGTAGCGTGCTTTCTAATTAATTACATCATAAGGCCGTTCCCATTACTGATAAATGCATGTGTTAACTATAAGTCGGCAGCAAGGTGCGTTTAGAAGGTCATCAGCCGATCTGGAGCTAAAGGGGCGGATGTTTACATCCAAGCGCCCCACAGCCAGTGAGCAACGAGGACAACGTGACCAGTCTGCAGACCTGAAGACCAGCAGATTCACACCTGCAGCAGCGAACCTGCGGGTCTGCAGCCATACAAGTCTTTACCACCCAGCTTCAGCATTTCCATATTTGGGTCTGACCCAAGGATTTATTCATAGATATGCTTTTTCTAGATTATGAGTAGTAGAAATGCTAAAAAAGAATTATACGTGCAATTAAAACTCGAGGAAGTTAGAATATCATGCAAAAGTCCATTTATTTCTGTTATTCAGTTTTATAATAAGCAATTGGACATAGGTTTTACTAAGATCCAGTCTATTTAGTCATTTATTTTCTAGTAGTGTTGTAATTTATAGTTAATGAAATAAGTAATAATAATAAGATGGAATTCCATTTTTCTTGCAAAAAAAGTACCAAATTCTTTATTTTCCCTGTAAATTTGTTACTTTTATTAACTTGTAACTCACTTTTTGATAAAGTAAATAGTAACTGTAACTAAATACTTTTTAAAGTAACATTCCCAACACTGGTCCCTACATCCGTTTGACGCATTCACTAGAAAATGCTAAACGATGGCACCATGTTTGTTTGTTTTTAGCTAGTTTGTTACTGAACACACCGATTAGCTAACACACGACAAGAATCAGCCTTTTCCCAACACGGTTTTCTCTGTGACGTCGGTACAGGGAGCTGGAGCTGCCATCTATGTCTGGACCTACTAAAGGACAAGGCTTCTATCTATCAGAACCAGAACCCACCTACATCGTGATGGCCAGCCCGGCCGTCCTGCAGCAGCATGGTTTGTCCCTGAAGATGCTCCAGGAGCTTCCCTGTCAAGCTGACCTCCCAAGGAAGTTTGTTCTGGAAGAACAGTGAAAAGGGAAGCGTGTCTTATCCAGACTAGCCCCAGTAAGCCCGACTGTTACACTGTTCCAACCTCAGACCCTAACCCACATAGGCAGCATAAACAGCCAAACCATTACCTTCTGTTGGGCTTTTCTACTCAGAGTTGCTAAAGTGTTTTGATTTTTATGAAAACAGCAGAACTGGAGCTCATTAAACTCAAACAGCATCCCCTAGCTTGCTCATGGTGGTTAAAAAATATATATTTTATAATATGTATACATTTCTATGATATATTGGTGAGTATTTAAAGAATTTAAAATAAATTATTTGTCACGTTTATTATTAAAATACACCTTAACATGGTGGGAAAAGTCCACAACAGTGAGGTTCTTCTGTAATCAATCAGATGCAGTCAGAGGCATTTGCTGAGGCTGTGCAGCGATTTATCATCTAATACACACACACACACACACAAATAAAAAAAAAGGAATTATTGATAGAATCCCTCACACGTCTGTCAAAGTGGCTCCAAAGGTTGCAGAACTTCAAAGATGGCAGGTTGGACTTTTATCTCAGTCAGATCTTTTGTGTTGGGACTCATATTTCCTTTCAGGCTTTGAGGCTTTTATTTTGACAGAACAGTCTATCGCAGACATGACGTCGGAACTGGACGACACGCCCACCCACCCGTCTGATCCACATACGTGATTCTCGTTGATCTCGTCTGCATCGGTGTTCGACTAAAGGGAATTCTGCTGTGTTGTAGCAGTTTGATTATCAATCCTCACCTTTTAGGTTGTTCGGAGTCGGTTTAGAAAAGCAATACACAAGCTCCTGGGTGATGCCGGGAAGAGCAGCGGTCTGTTCAGACTCTGCTGACAGATGGTGTGTGAGAGATGCACCAGAGAGGAGCAGAGATTTAGTCCTGAGGAGAGTGCTGTTTTAGTCACTTTGACTGTTTTCATGCAGTCATTTCCTTCTGTGGCTGATCTTAAAAAGTCTGACTGAGCTGCTGAAGCACCAACTTTACCTCAGAGATGAAACAGCGTTTAACTGTGCTGCATAGAGACGAGACAACGTCAGGAGGAAAGGTGATGACAGCTGCAGCGTCTGCTTCACTAACTCTAGTAAAACAGCTGCATGTTCACTAAGCGCTCTCATATCCTACAGAGGTGTGTGTGTGTGTGTGTGTGTGTGTGTGTGTGTGTGTGTGTGTGTGTGTGTGTGTAGGCAGGGGGTGTAATATAACTTAACCATGCTATCATGTCTCAGTAGCCAACTAACCAATGCTAAAGCATTACATGAAATTCACTCGGCTTCTTTTCTTCTTACTGTGTAGCCCTACTGCTTCATCTAGAGAATATTGTAGCTTTTTTGTATTCGGCAGTAAACGTTTGCATACCTGATGCGTGGGACATTTGGGGATTAGGTGGAAGTTTTTTTTCTAGTTAATCCTGTCATCAGGTCTCAGCTGAGCCTTCATGCAAAGGTCTAAACACAACGAGAAGTTTAATCATCCAGGCTCGATAACAAAGTCATATCTGGTTCTGGTGTGTAATTATTGCTTAATTATAGATTGGGAGAGATTTGTTACATATTCAAATCAAGATTATAGGTTTACATGGTAGGTGGATACTATTTGGGTGGATTGTAATAGACTATTGTATAAAAATGTCTTCAGGAAAATAAAATACCAGGCACTATGATCAGCTCGTCTGCCTTCCTTATTAACCAACCAAGACTTCTCTGCATCCAACAGGAAACAAATAGTTAAAAAGATCAGTTATTGCACTTTTTTATTGCACTCAAGATACAACAGTCTTCTATGGATCAATACAATCTCTAAAGCAGTACATTTTTACTCTAAGATTGTCTACACCCAACATCACAGCAGAATAAACAAAATATTCATGAGGATGGAGCTCAGCTGTTTGGATTATTACTATGATGACAGAAGCTGCTGACAGCTGAGTGGAAAAAGAGGATGTTAATGTCACACTGGTGAATCATCTGCTGGCAAAAACAAGGATGGAGATTTGGAGGATGGAAAATGGCAATTTGTGCCTCAGGTAAGGCTAAAAACACATTATCACACAACAATAAATAGGAAGTGAATCCTTCCATTACTCGCTTCTCTCTAATTGAACATTCAAACATAAAAGGGGAAGTCATGTTTGGTTATTTTAATGGTGTGATCTTGACGACTATTCACGAACTTGAATAAAATAAGAGAATCCTACAGCTTTAATTTGATGACTGACTTGGCTCGCTGCCATTAACAGAAGACGTCTAAAACTTGGAATTTACCATTTTTAAACCACATTTTCACGAAACCCTCACCGTCTGTTTCCATGGCAAAATGACGTTGCTCTGCTTGTGGCATGTACAGGATGACTTGCCAGGCTAACATTTACAGTGATTTTTAAAATCGAATAACTGAAAATCCTAACGCTGAAGGGCAAACTAGTGCTAGTCTGACTTAAAGCTTTCATAGCCTACTGAGCATTTACCGATAAGCATTCATCATGTTACAATAATTCACATACATGTTTTAAAAAATATCAAAATACCACAAAACAAGTCTAAAGAACATTCATTCTTGTAAAACTTTGTAAGTTATTTAACAATTATAAACAAAAAGCATTGTCAAGTAGATAATTATACGGCCACCTGGAAGAAGACAAGAAACCCAGGATCCCTTTGATGAAACATGTAGAGTTCACGGCTCTACTCTTCAAAAATACTCTAAAAGTAAAACTAGTATGTGCCCACATTGTTTAAATGGCTGCTAACAGGAGGAAGTGAAATGCAGCATTATTAACTATCAAACACACATGCTGTAAATGTGTGTTGTTCTGTTTGGCCAAATCTCTCTATTTTTTTAATGACCCTATAAAATGTACAAGAAACTTCACTTTCATTGTCGTACCTAAACATTAAGTCTACTACCAACTAGAGGTCGACCCATATTGGTTTTTCTATTGCTGATGGCAAGGAGACACGGTCAGCCTGTGGCCGACGTCTAGACGTTTTCCGCCTTATTTTCATGCTAAAATGTCACTAATAACATCAGTTGATGCACAAAATTTCTGAAGCTGAATCCGTTTTTGAACTCTGAATTTATCTATTAAATCTGCTCAGTGTTAGTCAGACACCCAAATAAAGTTAATTTAGAGTATTGATTATGTTGATGTTATTAGTGATCATAAAAGTACAATTAAAATCTGCAACAGCATGGGCTGCCTGAGGAATTGGCTTTACTAAGAGCGGTAAAAACGGTAAATACCAGACCGAAATATTGGTCTACCCATACTACCAACCTGCACCAAAGGTTTATGATGATCATAAAGTTTATAAAATATTAGATTCTATAGTAATAAGCCTTTTAAAAATACTTTGATACTACATTTATCTCTTTACGCACCTGTTGGCTCAAAGTCATCAAAAAGAATGCATTTTAACATTGATTATTCTAAAAGTCTATTTTTCACACTAATGTAAGGGTGTACATTCAAACATCCGGAAGTAGTCTCAAAGAAAACAGCACAGGGAGCCTAAGTCTCCTCCCTTTCCGGTCGGCTCACGGGTCCCCGGAAGAACGAAAAATGAATGCAAGCCAACGGCACTAAAAACGCTATTTTCTAATCTGCTTAGCCTTACGCCCTGGATCACACACATGTTGTACTGCAATTTAAATGAAAAGTAATGGTGGGTGTTTCAACCACTCCAGTCAGGTACTTTGAGATTCATCAGCTTGTAAAAGTTTGTAATTAGCATGACTACACAACAAAAATCGGCACGTCGTATATGTGACATCACCACATGGTCTCCTCTCCCCAAAGTAGCTGCTACTAACCAAATGACCAGATTTATGGTGGTTCTTTCCTCCTGTGGGAAGTTTGCTGAACTTGCAGCCTTTTTCCCTCAGTTTTCTCCGTGTCTGGTTCGATGACGTCACTTTCGTGAAGCGCATTTGTAGTCCTGGACTTATTTTCACACGAAACCTAAAATAGCGTTTCCCCCGTTCGAAAATAAGCGTGTTCTTGGTATCAAAATGTGTCTTTAAAGTTCACGGACATCATATGTGAAATCCATGGCACAAAACAAGCTGAGTTAGAAAATAGCGTTTTTAGCCCCATTGACTTGCATTCATTTTTTTGTTCTTCCGGGGACCCGTGGTGTGGAAGTAGGTGGGCGTGACTTGGGCTCCGTATTACTACTATTACCGTTGCCTTAACCTCTAGATTAATTTTGAAGACAACTTAGCTGTTGGGTTAACACTTTTTTTCTCAACTGCAGTTTGCGACTGTGTGCAAAACCTGCTTTTTAATAAGTGCTGCCATTTAAAAAAAAACAAACTGCACCAGAGACCCCATCAACATGTAAAAGTTAGTAATGTTGCGCTAACTAGCTATCTTTTTGCGCATTAGCAACAGCACAAAATAGTACATCTGTATGGGTAGGATTTCTGTTGGAACAACGGCTATGACGTAGCTCAGCTGTAGCAACAGTCAGACTCAATACAACATAATATAAATAAATAGTAAATCATGTAAAATCACTGTGAATCTGAACACCTACTGGCTGTTTTATCAAAATACTGACAGAAAATAATATTAAGCGATTCAGTTTGACAGCTAGCTGGTAAGCTAGCATGGAGATTTAGCGATAAATGAAGCACGCTAACTGAAAAGGCCTAAAGAAATTTGAAAAGTGAAAAATTGGAAAACTTGTTTTAAATGATTGTCGGAGTCCTTTTTAAACCTCTAATAAAGGCTTAATTTCTCTGCAGCTTTTTGTTAATTTAAGTTATTTTTTGCAGTGAAATTTCTGATACCAATCACTGCGCTGTACACAAAAGAACTAAAACCTTCTTAAAGAACATGTGTTTGTGCGGTCATACATCGATACATACAGAGGGGCTAAAATGTCCCAACTGGAACACAACAATGCCTTTTTCAGGGTGTTTTTGTTGCTTTGTCAGCTTCAGGTAAAACGATGTGTGGTAGAAGTGGAGCTTTTTGACGCATTGCCTATGAGGCAGACCTTTTAAGGTCTTTACATTTGTCCAAAAAGGATGGAGCAGAGCAGGAAAATAGCATAAAGAAATATCAGACCCAGACCCAGCCGGCGGTCCAGCTTCCAGTGGTTCAGATGAACGCTCATCACCTGCAAGGGAACACACATTCGTTTTATTCATTTTAAAAGGATACTGGGCAGTTTTGCTAGCTTTTAGCACCCCCTAGTGTCCTTGATTAATTATCTGTGGTCAAAGAAAAAGTGAAACTTATCCCCTCGCTGTGCATTTGTCTTTTTACACCTTAATCTAACAGCTGAATTGTCTCCCCAGCCTTCCTTCATCAGGGGTGATTCATCACTAAATCAAACAAATCAGCTGTGTTCATGATCTAAAACATGCAGGAAATGTGCTGGAAGCAGAATGCAGTGCTAGATATATAAGCTCAATTCTTTTTTTTAAGTCTAACAGGGATCGTTTCGGCACTTTGAAATTGCAAATGCAGTATTCTGGCCACAGAAGGCAGTAGGGGTCTGAGTGACATTTCATTAACCCTAAAGGATCATTTTAGCACATACTGGCTCAAGAAAATTATTCAAAAACATAAAGTTGCAAAGTATCCCTTTAATACAATCCAGGCCATGTTCACACGTAGCTGGGTTTCTTCGTCTTCGTCTTCCTCCGCTTATCCGGGTCCGGGTCGCGGGGGCAGCATCCCAATTAGGGAGCTCCAGGCCGTCCTCTCCCCGGCCTTGTCCACCAGCTCCTCCGGCAGGACCCCAAGGCGTTCCCGGACCAGATTGGAGATGTAACCTCTCCAACGTGTCCTGGGTCGACCCGGGGGCCTTCTGCCGGCAGGACATGCCCGAAACACCTCCCCGGGGAGGCGTCCAGGAGGCATCCTGACCAGATGCCCAAACCACCTCAACTGGCTCCTTTCGATCCGGAGGAGCAGCGGTTCTACTCCGAGTCCCTCCCGAATGTCCGAGCTCCTCACCCTATCTCTAAGGCTGAGCCCGGCCACCCTACGGAGGAAACTCATTTCGGCCGCTTGTATCCGCAATCTCGTTCTTTCGGTCATTACCCAAAGCTCATGACCATAGGTGAGGATTGGGACGTAGATCGACCGGTAAATCGAGAGCCTGGCTTTCTGGCTCAGCTCCCTCTTCCCCACGACAGATCGGCTCAGCGTCCGCATCACTGCAGACGCCGAACCAATCCGCCTGTCCATCTCCCGATCCCTCCTACCCTTACTCGTGAACAAGACCCCGAGATACTTAAACTCCTCCACTTGAGGTAGGACCTCTCCCCCGACCCGGAGGTGGCAAGCCACCCTTTTCCGGTCGAGAACCATGGTCTCAGATTTGGAGGTGCTGATCCTCATCCCAGCCGCTTCACATTCGGCCGCGAACCTACCCAGCAAGAGCTGAAGGTCAGAGCTGGATGAAGCTAGGAGGACCACATCATCCGCAAAAAGCAGAGACGCTGGGTTTCTGTAAAATGAAATATACTCCCCTACCCACCTAGGAAAAAAACATGGGTCCACCACCTCGTTTCCAGCAACAACAAAAAAACATATTCATAGGCATATAGAGCCTGTAGGTGGCAGTAGTTCCCAAAATTGTTGCCATCTTTGCCAAAAAATATTTCTCGGTCCTGGAATAACTAGGTGGTGAGGAGTAATGTACATAATGTCGTCCATTGCCTTTGATCTTCTACATAGAGCAAGAATTGAGCTGGTAAAAATGAGCAAGTAAATGTAAACTCAAGTCGCACATCAGCATTTTTGTCGCAGTGACGATGCAAAACCTAACACCCTGGTTACTGATGCAAAATGCAGCAAATGCTGACAACGGAGAATTTGTAAATCTCCACCTTTGCCAGAGGTGTTTGTACAAATCCATTTTTGTTCCGAGTATCTTCACCTTTGTGTGGATGACGGACCAAAGAGAAGTGTAATGGTTTTGTGGGACTCCGCTACCTGTGTACAGGGCCTTAGACATCAGAAATACTTGATGCATTTATTGAGATTTTATTCTCTATTCTATTGCAAATTGAGCAATGTTTAAAACCTAAAATGAATCCAAGCTCACGCAGCGTACATAAATCTGGTGTTTTGCATTTACTCACAGTCAGAAACACCGACGCCAGCAGGAGGACAACGGAGTATACAAGTCCTTTATTATTTATGTGCACCTGTGGGGGGAAGAAAATCACTCAAACATCTGTACTTAAACACACAATCAGAATGGTTAAATGATATAATGCAATATAAGTAATGAAAGTAAACGCATACATCATATCCACGATCCACCACGAGGGTCCGCAGAGCCCAAGGAAAGCCCAAACCCAGCAGGATGTCAAAGATATTGCTGCCTATGGAGTTGGACACGGCCATGTCCCCCATGCCTGGAATAAACACAGGCTGACTTACAACCCTGCATCCGATTGGGACAGGAAAAAATCCTGATGCAGTTAAAAAGCACAACGCTTTCTCTCCTTACCTTGTCTAGCTACGATCAGGCTAGCCATGCAGTCTGGCACACTGGTTCCTGCTGCCAGGAAGGTTATACCCATGATGTAGTCTGGGATGTCTAGTGTAAAGCTGATGATAGTGACCTGTTTAAACACACGGGTGTGAGATCAAATAAATCCACTAGACAGCATGGGGTTGTGTTTTCTTACCATCCACACCATGAGGTAGGAGAAGACAGCGATCCACAGGGTGGAGGCCACAAAGGTGACCATGAACCAGCGGTGCCAGCGAGGCAGGATGCAGTTAGGCACAGTGCAGTAGAGCAGGAGGCCCAGAGGCCAGGTGATCACCCACTTCACCCGTGCACAGCAGCTGCCTGTGACGCAGGGTTTTATAGTTTTAATCAAATATGCATCTTTTGATAAAACCGTGGGGAAAAACAAGGCTACCAGTGCCTCGGTCTTTACCTGGCATGCGCACTGGACTAAAAATCCGATCTTCATCATCCTCTTCTTCCTCTGGCCTGCTCGCTTCGACCCCAGGCTTGTTTCCCGACTCGGCGTCTCTAATCCTGGGTCTTCCACCTCCATTCTCCAGACCGCAGGAGCCCGTCCTCTTTAAGCTGTTACTAGAGGACCCCTTTCTTGAGCCTGAGGCGGCGTCACCATCCCGCTGGTGTTTGGACGTTCTGATCAGCCTCTGTCTCTGATGAAGAGGGAAAGTAGGTAAGGTGGTTGTGTTTGTGAGCCAATAAGTTTCAGGTGTGTAGTAAATACCTCACTGATGACCATGCGTCCTGCCATGGAGAGCCGGGTGCGGGGCGAGAAGTGGGGGGTGATCATGATGCGCAGGCCGGCCTCTGAGAAGGACAGCTTGTGGGGGTTGAGGATGAGCAGCTCATCCACCATGATGACTGGAGGGTTGTCCTCACAGTTGCTTTGCCCTGTGGTTGTTGACAGTACCACACAGACACAGGACCCCGTTTAAATCCTTTAAAAGCTGCACCGATGGGTTTCATCCAAGTTCACCAACCTTTGTTGAGAAGCACCATAGAGGTGTTACAAGCTGCAGCCTCTTCCCCCGTCTTGTTTTCCTGGCTTCCCTCGGATCCCCGGCAGCACGGCCCGCTGCTCTGAACCTGACGCATCACAAACACTGAAATCTGAGAGTTGAACCTGCAACCGCACAGATCCCACAAGGTTAGTCGTCGAATGAAGACCAAGAGAAGGATCAGGAGGTTTAGCGTTTAGGAAACCTACTTCATGATGATGATGTAGATCCCATACATGGTCATGAGGACCAGGGACTCCCACCTGCACACAGAGCAGCACATCTGGGTAGCATGCAACTGAGCATCCTTTCATCCAACTCTAAAAAAATTGTGCCTTTAAAAATTTCTGTTGATGTTTATTTACTCTTTGTTCCTCCCAGGTGTTGATGGTGCATTTTACAATAATTAGAATTTCTTTTCCAATTTTTTTTTTTGGGTGAACTGGTGCAAATTCTTTGCACATTAAGTTGCAGAAACACCACACACATGGACAGACTCTGGGTAAGAGCGGTGGGAATTACAGCAGTGTGCTGGTGAAGGTTCTCCGTCATCCAGGTCATGGTAATCCAAAGGCTAGCTTCTTATCTGAGGAACGTAGTCAGTTCTGACAAGCTTATAAACCGTAGCTCTCGGTTGTTGCTCAATGAGCAGAAACTACATATGAATACCCCCCTCCCTACCCCCCAAAGAGTCATTGATGTTGTTTTGTCTTATTGTGTTAGAATGGTTGTTTTGATTAGACACATGAGGGTGTGGCCTGGACTGAAACTGTTTTGGAATTCGGTTTAAAGCTGCACTATAGGTGCTGGAAAGATGAAACCCGAGTCCTCTTCCTCTGTTTAATGTCGGCCTTTCCCTTTTGACATAAATAGCTTTTTTTCTCCTCTCTCAAACCATCTGTCTGTCCAGACTGTGTACTTTATCATCTTCCAAGCGTGTCGCTTGTCTTTCAGGTGCAAGTGGACTACGGCGTCCTGTGTTGTGCCATGAATTACAACAGGTTGAACACCGTGTGACTCAAACAACTGGCTGTTCATCTCTCGGGAGTCCACAGATAAAAGAGGCTTTCGCTACTCAAATAAATCCATTTTTAAATGTATTCATGAACTATTGTAAACAAAAGTTATTAGGTTGAGTAATGCGAAGCTTCTGAAGGCATCAAACGCAGATGAGCAGCATCAGCGGCTGCCACACAAATTCAAATAAATCCTAACCAATTTCACAGCTGACTTTGAACTCGTCACATGTGTGGACTCCTCGGCGAGCTCTGACAGGATCAGACGGGTTTCTACGGGGTTATTTGTTGAGGATAAATCCTGAACCCAATCGATTGAACAGGCTTGTGGGAGCTGACCACCCAGCCAGTGACTTGGCTTTAACAACCGCTGTTTGACACCATTCTTAGAGGAAAACTTGAGGTAATGTGACACAAAAGCAGTGACTGAAATCGTTATTTTGCACACTAAAAGAAGAGCTGAGCTGTTTGTAAATTCAACAAATGAACAGAAATAACTCACCAGCACACTCTGTCATCATAGATAACCTAGAGACAAAACGGTCGTTAAAGTGCAGTTAGATGGAGGGAGAACACCAGAGAAGGAACGTGTTCCTGAAAAAGGAAATCTCACCACGATGAGTGCTAGGACAGCCAGGATGTAGTAACATGAGTCTCTGAACAGAGACCACCATGTCAGAGCCACCGTCTGGAGAGGAACGCTACACAGATTAGTCTTTACTTTCATGAAGGGAATAATGTTGTGGATATTTCACTTTAAATTGCTTTTGTTTCATAAAACCCAGATTATAATACTAAAAAAATGGCTACTTCAGACAGATCACGCTGATAAAAGTCTCAAAGGTTTGTCCAACCTGTCCTGCAAAGATTCCACTCAGCCCGATGATGACCAGGATGTTGAAGACAGCCGAACCCACGATTGTTCCAACCCCAACGTCGCCTTTAGTGATGAAGACACCTGAAGACACGTTTAGGGTTGTCGCAGTGGGTTTTATCTGAAACTGATGTCTCGTAAACCGATTGATTAAAGTGACCTAAAGTGCCGCACAACTTTATTTAAATAAAGCATCAATCTAGATTAGATTATTTACATTTCAGCAGAATTCCCTTAACTCCTGTCTGCTGACATCTGCTGGCTCTTCCTGGAAGTGCAGAACACGGCAGACTAACTTAAACTTCTCTAAGTTTTAAGATTGGAGCAGCACCAACCCTGACGAGCTCCCTCTAAATGAGCTGGGTTTAGATTGGCTGAGGCTACGAACCGATAAGAGAAGTGAAAAGCTCGGGGGCGGAGCTTCCCGCGGCCATAAACGTTGCCCCGGCCACATCCTCGCTCAGCTGCAGGTTCTGAAAGATTCAAAAAAGAACAGCCAACGAAATGCCCAACAGAGACCTCTTAGGGCGAGAACATTACATCTGGAGGCAGGCGTGGGCTGCTGCTCCTCACCTCAGATATCTTCTCCAGTGAAGGAACAAAGTAGTCGTCACAGATGATGGCCAGGGCGTAGAACATGTAGATGGCCTGGGAAGTGAGCAGAAACTGTGTTATTTTTCTATAAATACATCAGCTGGTGAGCTGTTTATGCTGTAATTGTGTCATCTGTTGAAACGATGAGTCAAACATGCACAAAAATAGACAAAATGCAGATTTTATTCTGAGGAAGACTCACGCAGAGTGCATGCAGAAGCACAGCCCCGTGCTTCCTCTGCTCCTTAGTGAAAATGTCCTCTGGAAACTCGTGGATGGCTGTGGGAGAAACAGATAATAAACAACCCCCCAGTGTGAATAAATGTGTTTTAATCCTCCTATTTACCCTTTAAATGTAGGATTTATAAACCAGCAAACACTCAACAGGAACAGGCTTCATTTCACGTTAGAATGACACAGGAAGTGAGGTTGAAGTGAAACTGGCAGCTGCTTCCTGTCCTCCTTGGAGTGCAAAAGTAAGACAATGAAAACCCAACTATGCAACGACTCCTCCGATGCCCTCGGGTCTCCTGGCAGAGCTTAGAAAAAGGCAGAAAACGCCTGGAGAGAGTGGACCAGCTCCACTTCACAACTCTGAGCTGAGCTGGCTGAATGTAAAATACAGCTGAGACCAAGGCTATAAATAGCTCCGCTGCTGTGTGACACAACAATGGGTCGACATGCACACAATAAGCACAGTGTAGCTGCGGCGCTGCATGGAGACTGCGTGGATTAAGAGTGGGTCCCTTGTGATCTGGGATATGAGATCTGCTCTTTGACACGGCAGCAGCTCAGAACGGGAGCGGGAGGCCATATGGTCCCGAGGAGAGGACTTTAATTTGCTCATGTTCAGATGGAAAATGGAAACGCTGCTCGTGGATCATTTCTAAGACTTAAGAGTTGAAATGAGTTTGTGGGGAGTGGCGGTGTCCCTGCTTGCTGCTTTCTTAAGAACTGAGGGGGGAAACCTATTTTCGCCGTGTGCCAGCTGTTGTTGCATGGCAGAGCTTGTCCCGATGATTCATCCAGGCTTAGCAAGCTAACTTTCTGTCATCTTATTGCAGAAATGCCAGAGCTGGGATGTGTGTGGGGCTGATCAGCTGCTGGACATCTGCGCTCGCTCCGAGGCTTGCTTTGTACCACCTTTGTCTCAGCGTTCTGGAGGCCTCCCAGAACCCTTTCTGCCCCGACACATAAACTTCTGGCTTCTGCAGACAGTGAAATCGCAGGACTGGCTTCAGATGGACATTTTGAGGGGTTGCTCTGATGAAGGTAGTTGCTATGGTGACCTTTTCCCTTGGGGTAGCTTTCTTTATTTTTACTTGATGGGTGGCAGTAGGACGCCAAAGGCTAAGGGATTGCGTCAATAGTGAGAAAAGGGGAGGTGGATGTTTTTCCCATGGTGGGGTTTATAAAATGAAAAAAAAAGTACAAGTGGCAGCAGCTCTGGATTGTAAGGTCTAAAAATATTTATTTTTCCTTACAAACCCCCAGGAGAGGACTGAGAGAGGGAGGGAGGGACAACACAGACAGTTGGCTGGTTTACTGAAGGTTACCGAGCAAGAGGGGGTTCTGCTGAGAACAAGCCCACCACTGGAAGCTCGGGAGCTAAAGATGCAGCTCAAATCAGAACATCAAAACTAAAAACCTTCCTCCGGCCCAGCGGCGCTTTGTCTCACAAGATATTTACACAAGTCGTTCACCTCTGATCCTTCATTACAGCGGCTCACATGTCGCCTCACCCCCACACGAGCCGGGCCGAGGTGCATCCTGGGAAGATTTTGTGTATTACTTCAGATTTAGCTGTAGTGGTGGCCATGACAGTGACAAAGCAGCAGTGATAGCTGCTCGTACTGCAGGGAGGACCTCCTCGAAGGAAGAACAACGGCACGGCTGTGGTGTGATGAAATGATATGCTGCTCCTGAGGGGGGTGGGGGGTATCTGAAGTGGATTATTGTTTGGGCTTCAGGAGAGTTCATGTCGGTCCCATTAAATAAGTCTGAATGCTCAGAGAACGTGTCCAGATGAGCCTTTCAGGGAGAACAAAGCACAAAAGCAAGGCAGGATGCTCGGTGGGTTATTGTCAGATACGTTTTGATGGACTGATAAAGGTGAGCACTCAGAAGGCTTTTGCACTTTTACAAGCCTCATTCAGACGTGCATTCATAAATCATTGCTTAGTTTTTACAGCCTCAGGCTGTGCAGCACCTTTTCATTATCACATGAACACTCACAGGCCAGCGAACGGCTATGAGGCACAGATCTAGGACTGGAGGGCCGCTATCCAGCATGTTTTAGTTGTTTCTCTGCTCCACAACACTTGATTCAGTGGTTGAATGACCTGTAGCAGCTCATCAAGCTCTCCAGAAGCCTGCTAATCCCCTGCTGACTGAAATCAGGGGTGTAGAAACAGCTGAAACTGAAACGTGCTGGATACCGGCCCCCTTAACCTCCGGGTAATTTTAGCGGCATGCGTGTGTCTTCATTTCAGCGTTTTCTGTAGTGCCGTTTCAGGAATCAGCAGAGAACCTGGGTTAAGTACTGGGAAAGGCCCAGTAGTCACTCACAGACATTCACACGTAGACTCCCCTTGGACTGGTGCTGCTGTAGTGGCCAGCCGCCATCTTGGATGGGTCTCCATTCACCCCAGTGCATTCCTTTGTACTGAGGAAGGTGCTTACCCAAATAAAAAAATTTTATCAAGCTTTTTCACAAAACCAGACACAAGGTATGGCATGATGATTAAAATATAAATATATTGAAATTAAATAAATAAAAATATAATCAGGTAGGCTAAAAAAGTCAGTAATCCAACATGATCTGTTTTTATCGCCGGTTTTTGCAACCGTAGGCTGCACAAAAACAGACGTAGTTGCTCACTCTTCATTGGCTTTGGAGTGAGGAGACCCATCCAATATGGTGGCGACGCTGATATGCTCTTCTGCGCCCAATAGGGTGTGTAACTCGGTAGGAAATGACATCATCAGGCGTCAACAAACAACCGGCATATGGAAAAACTGGAAGATTTGTTGGTGAAGTGGAAAGGAAGGACAAGAAGAATATAAGGAGTGATAATGCTTTCAGCAAGCCATTTCTAGACTCCTGACGCTGAAAAATGAGACACACACACACACACACACAGCGCTTTGTGGTCTCCTACAGAGCACTTCTTCTGATCATTGCCACTTTTTACGTTACCCATCCGCTGTTCCTATCCCCTGAACACAATAAAACTTTTAACATCACTGATGTCCGGGGACGCCTTTTGGCGCTGGTCAGTGACATCACTCGATGCCAAAGCAATTGTGATATGCTGACGTCTTAGAAAAGTCCTGGAAGGGACAGAGTCAGCGTGTTTCCAGAACTCCTGTAGAGGAAACACAGCTTTTGCTTCTCTGTGGACTTTGGGTAGGGCTGCACAATAAATCGTACAAAAATTGTGATCTCAATTCATACTTGTATGCAATCTCATTTCCAAATGATAACGATTTTAAGCAGCTGGCTAGATAAGAAAAGGACTATGTTCTCTGTTGTGGTCCTGCCACAGTCAGCAATCATGTTGTCATGTTAAATGTTATATTTTGTTAATAATTGTGGTTTATATTTTAAGAAACATACCTATTACCTACCTCTCTCATCACCTTACAAGCAGAGAGAACACTGTTCAAAATTGTTATCGTTTAAATTATTCTGAAGTTGTGTACGTTAGAGACGACGAGAGACATTTACTGTTTTCATGTTCAGTGACCGAAGTTGATGTGCAGGTAATAAGTGCAATAAATACTTATTTTGGAAAAACATCGTGAACTAAATTCTAAACAAAAAATTGATGATTCTTATTTTAACCAGAATTGTGCAGCCGTAACTTTGGGGATTATGAATCTGGAGGCTGGAGAACTAAGCAGCCCATGATGTATACAACACTTGAATCTTTGGTGCGTTTAGTTAGAAACACATAGCTAAAGGATGAATCATTATGTCTATTTATAGCAAATATGCAGACAAGAAAAAAGTCAGATTAGATAATCTGAGTGCTAGTCTGAGCTCAGTTTCTCAGAGTTGCTGTGAAAAGTCGCGCTGCTTCCTGAAGGATTTCTGCAAGGTGTCAGTAATTCTGACCACTACTCTGTAGTTTGGCCCTGCTTTCACACCCAGCAGCTTGGAAAAACAAAATGCTAATTAAACATCAAAAGGCACTGTAATAAAGTGCCTCTAGTAAGTGCTGTTGCGTGGTTACCATGGAGATCTTTGTGAGCGACTGGCAGCAGTTTTAACATTTCTCCTTGGTGTTGTTCTAAATGTAGGTCATTTCTTTTGGCCTGACGGTAATTTCAGTCAGTAGCTGCTCAGCTACCCTTCAGAAATGTTCCAGTTACTAAACGTTAATATTTATAAAACATTTGTCATAACCTGTCTGTCTGCTTTAGTGTTGCTTTATTAACACCTGCTGCAGATTGCTCCAGATAAATGAAGCTGCTGCTGAAGATTAGAGCTTGAGTGAAAGCAGATTCTTCACTGGGCATTAAAGAGTGAAAACACACAGCCGCTGTGAGAGGCAGAGCTCTCCGAGGCCAGGATGGAGCTGAATGACGGCTGGTGGGAGGTACGGGATAATGCTATCGACCTGAGTCTGCAGGACATGCTGGTGTCACTGACTGCCACACAAGCAGTGGCATGTCACACACACACACACACACACACACACACACACACACACACACACACACACACACACACACACACACACCTCTGCATTTTTCATGAGGAATCAAAAAATTAATGTTTCATCCAGGTGTGTAATGTAAATTCAATCATGCATCGTTTGTTCTTTGATTCCCTTTGCTTTGAGGTGATTTGAATACAAGACCGACGAGCCGACGGCACATAAAAAGTACCCCATCACAAAAGCTTTGGCTGGCAAAGACGTAAACTCGGAGGAAATCAAAGGCAGTCACAACTTTTAAAAGACCAACCTCCCTGCGAGAACTTCACTAGAGGACGGCGTAAGAGCCACGCATGTTTGTTTTAGATTTTCCTAAGCGCACCGACTGAACTGATAAACGTAAGTGCGCGGTTCGAGACGATCTGTGCTTCCTGCCAGTTTCTTTCTCAAAACTTTCTCCCAGAAATACGACAGTGGAAAAAGACTATTCTCAGCTGACTGCCGCCTGCCAAAGTAAACAACATAACAAACCTCAACAACAACTCGCTACTCGAGCCCTTTACTTCATTTACATGGTTTAGATTCCTTCAACCCCCCCGACCCCAAACCGCTGCTCTATTTTTGGCTCTTTGCTTTGCACTTTTAATGCTTGAAAGACAGAATTGTCTGGGTTTCAAAATTTAGCATTCAGTTGCCTAGCAACAGCAGTCTCGGAGGCTTGTCAGCTGGGGCCGGATCACGCTGTCTCAGTCTTGTTAAGCAGCGGAGAGATGAAGAGAGAGAAAGAGTTTGAGGCTGGACGTTGCAGTGCAATCCCTAAGATAATATCCCCAAAGGTCCGGGGATGGCTTTTTAATCACACTCCAGATTACACAATCGCTGTCAGATGGCCCGCTGAGGAAGAGGACGGCAACCTGAGGCTGGAGCCGCGCTCACTGCTGTTTCTAATACTACCTGTCTGGGCTTTTGTTCTCCTCCGGTTTATTACCACGATGAAGTATCTCCCCGCGCCGCGCTAGAGTCTTTGTAAGGGATAATGAGGGAGATCTGTTGGCAACCAGGAACTCAATAAAGGTTAAGTGCTATCTAGGAGCAGAATACAAACGGATGCACGGCGCAAAAGGAGCAGCGATGTGCCGAGGCTCACTATTTGCCATTGAAAGGGCGGGGAGAAAAAGCACCTCTGGTGCAATACCACAGAGGAAGATGTGAAGCAGCCTTTAACATTTAAACTGTGAGGTCAGTCACCTCTTTTAAGTAATCATAGTTTTTACTCTGATGCGACTGAACTATTGAGATAAACGTGAGGAGTAAAGAATCCAGTGTGTTTTGACTCCGCAGCGCCCGTCTAAGCTGGAGTTAAACAGTAATTTGGTTTGAATCGGAACGTGGCTGTCTCTGTGTGACCTCTGAGTGAAGTGTTGATCCGTTACACATTTACAGAGCTGCACAAAAGTATTTGACCCCTCATGCGTCCCTCCTGCTTCTGCCTCTTTTTGTTACACTTTATTGTTTCAGATCAGCAACTCAGTCCCAAAGATAGCTACCTCAGATCCCGCTCAGACAAAGATGATTGGGGTGAATATAATTTGCAGTTTTCAAATGTTTTCATGAATCAACTAAAATAAAATCTATTCAAACCAGCCTGGCTCGCCTCGTTCAGTCATAAGGTAACAGCCAAGCAGACCGGCAGGATGACGTAGAACCTGTCCGACAACCACATCAGAGAACCCATCTGGACTAAAACATATCAACAGTCAGACACGGTGGTGGTGGTGTGGTGGTCTGGGGGTGCTCTGCTTCTGCAGGACCTGGACCACTTGCTGTAACTGATGAAATCATAAATCCTGAGGCAAAATGTCTGACCTTTGACCCTGAACAGACCCTTCAGGCTGGAAAAGCCTCCAAATGTGGCTGCTGAATTAAAACAAAACTGCTAGACTCATTGCCAGTTCCAACCAGTTAAGTTTATGGTGTCAATCCCTTTTCCACATAGGACCAGGTTGGTTCGGGCAGCTTTTTAATTTGAAAACTACCATTGGGTATTTACTCTGGTTATTTCTGCCTGATGTTGAAGTTTCTCTGCTGATCATTAAACATTAAAGTTTTCTACTGGAGTCCCGATTCTGGCTTCTTTGTGACATGTGAGCTTGTATGCTTTGCAAACACACCAACTCACCAGCATGTTGCACCAAAGAATAATGTTTCACCTGAATGAAGCGTGACGCAGACTGACGTTTTTTACTGTTTCTCTGGCTTCACACCTTCTGCAGGCAGTGGGATGAAGGTGAAGAGGGATCTGAGCAAACCATTCCCACCTCTATTTTTAGCTCCACTGCATTTGCATTCGCTACTGTAAGGAGAAGCCTGGCATTGTGCTGTCAGGCTTCAACAATACCTGTGCAGTTCACACACACTACAGTGTTGTGACTGACAGGCTAAAAATAGCCACACTGGGAAGTAAAATGCAAATGTTTGAATACAAAATTAGATTATTTTAGTAATGCAACAGATTTTATTGTGAGCTGGTGGTGCATCAGTGCGATTCGCCTCATTCAACGATGGCAAGGCTCCTTCTTCCATCTGCATTTTTAATGATGAAGCTGTCTGCTGTGATGAATGCAGCACGTGTCGGGCAGCCGTGTAATCAGCCTGCGGAGCAGAGGTCCGTTTGGACTGCATGTCTCAGGCATGATTCTTTTAGGAGCTTCATGAATCCATCCTAACTATTCTGAGAGCGTCAGAACTCAGGAGGAAAGTAACTAAGTATCAGTTAAAAGGTTCCTGTCTGACTTTCACTCCTCCTCATCTCCTCTATCTGACTTCTGCAGAGCCCCAGTTTGACAAACAGACACAAAGTGAAGTCTGCATAACCTTCCAGTTCACCTGCAGGGAAGAGGCAGGCGTCAGACCAACATTTTAGGCAGGTTTATTTTTTTTACCTGCATACAGAATGCAAATTTATGCATGAGTGTCAAGGAGGAAAAATCCTTTCGCTCAGCTATTCTCTGTGTTCATAAGGATAACACAGCAATAAGATGCACGTCGGGCTGATTTTACATCCCGCTTTAGTCTTTTTATGAGGGATTTAGTGCTGTTTTGTATGGTCCCTACTTGAATTTCCAGAATGATGAATTTTGTCTTTGTCCTGTAGGCTGTTGGTAGGACTGGGCAATAAATCGAAAATTTATCGTAATCGAATTTTCTGACTCATATCGTGATGATTTTTCCCATTTCAATAAAGTTGATAATAAAAAATGAAAAGATGTGTGTAGGTTGGCACGTAAAAATGTGACTCAACGCGATACACGTGACAGCCCCATCTAGTGGACAACTTTTGTTTCTGCGCATACCTGTAGTTATCGTCCATTTATCGTGATCGAGGTGAAATCGTCAATATATCGTGATATCAATTTTAGGCCATGTCGCCCAGCCCTAGCTGTTGGTATAAAGCAACACTTTCTATCATTTTTACATATTTGCTAATATGCCTATTTTGAGGAGTACAAACAAGTGAAATCACTATTAAAAAAATGTTTTAATTGAGAAAATGCATTTTTGTGGCCCACAAACATTTTAAAGAGACAATGTGTAGTTTTTAACTTTAAACTCTGGAAATATTCATTGAAACGTTAAAAATTAATAAAATGATGTCCAGTCATTGAAAAATATCAAGTGGTGCTCGCTGCAGAACCACAAAGGCGGAGCTGCACCAGAAGGTGGAGCTGCACCAGAGTCAGCCCCGCCCATTCCAGAATCAGCCCCGCCCATTCTATCAGAGTCAGTCCAATTCCTTCCAGTTGTCAGACTTTATAGCATTCTGGAACCAAAGAGGGTGTTATAGCTAAAAAATGCAAGATTGAGGACGGAGTTGAGAAGTGAATTGAACAGTTTTTGTAAAGGTTCCATATAATTAAAAATCTAACTTTGGGAACTTTTAATCATGTTATATTGTCATTTCCTCATAAGAAACACGCCAAAGCCATTTTTGGCCTCATTCATGCATTTTCTTGCCATCTCAGCTTCAATTTGGTCTCCTCCCCCGAAGCGGGTCTGGTCTTGGTTCTCAAATCTGGATATTCTGTGAATTTTCTGACAAATTATTTCTGAAATGACTTCTACTGAGACACCGCCAGAAAAATCATACACCCAGTCTACAAAGACACACTGGATAGAAGAATAACATGTAACGCCACTCAAGTTTCTGTAAGATGTGGTGGTGTAGTGGTTATAGTGTCTGGTTGTAATGCAGTTTTGCGCAGGTTTGCCTCCCAGTAGTGGAAATATTCTATAACCACTTTTCCTCATTTCTAGCTACACTTGCCAGTACTATGTTTACAACAATTTATTGGTATGCCGTTTAACATATAATGACTAATGTGTTTTTTTATTTATTCATTCGTTTATTTAGCCAGTGTGAATCCATTTGTGAGCAGAGTTTCAACTAAAATGCTGTTTAGGAACGACCAAATTCAAAGAACTTGTAGAGACATAAATATTTTGCTGAAAATGAACATTACAACTAAAATATGAACAAATTAAATGTTTCAGCTGGCTAAATAGATTGTTGCCGACCCCACCGAGAACCGAACCAGCATCAGCTGAGGGGAAAGCAAAACTTAAGTCAAACAATCTTGCCACTGGACTACCAGAACCCACATGATGCCGTCAATTGTTGTTGTACAGGACTTTTGTTAGAGCGGCTATGGGCAGATATTCGCTAAAAGAAACCTTTTCATTTCGGGATATATTCAGACTTTGTCATGTAGCAAGTTATATTTACCTTGTTTAATTGGAGCATAGAACATAGCATTAACGACTGTAAACTAGTAACAGCCGTAATTCATGAGAGTCAGGTTAGTTTGCGATAAAGTTGAAAAACAAAAACGGAAGTCAGTGGGCTAGGCTGAGTTTGCGTGAATGGGCGGGGCTGACTCTGGTGCAGCTCCACCTTATGGTGCAGCTCCGCCTTTGTAGGTCTGCAGCGAGCACCCTCTCAAAAATATTGGCTAACCATAAAAACCG